GGGGGGGGGGGCCCCCCTACATATGAAGTTTTCACGTGATGCGGCGATCCCGAGGATTCCAGCCCCTCACTTGCTAAAGCAAGGACAACTCCAGCTAGCTGGTGCTAGCTTTCGTGATTACTTTTATTGACACACCCAATGACAATAAACTCGGATCCTTCCTTGCTGTCATTAATTAAGAGTGAATGCCTTCCAGGCATGCCCTGTCATGGGTTGAAAGTCGAAGTGATGGTAAGCTCAAACTTCCACCTCCGTCTAAAACACCTCCGTTGATTGCGCCCATCGGACTCGAGGCATTGATTCAGGAACCCTCCCACCTGCACCGGTTCGCAGTTCCAATCGCTGGATGTGACGATGCCTTTTTGAGTCGAGACTTCACGACTTCACCCTGCCGCATTGTCAGTGGAATGTGGTGTTCCTCCGGAAGACCAGCAAGGTGTTCATAAAGTATGAGAGGTGGGAATGGCAAGTGCTCCGGAGGCGGCGTGTGGCCCGTGGATCAAAGAGATATCCAAGCTCCTTGAACATCAGCCGCACCTGTGGGGCATGCTGTTCATTCACATGTCCCACTCCTGATTGACCAGGAAAGGCCCAGCTCATGATGATCCCCTTTCGGTTATGCCGGTGGAGATTCTCGATGTAAACAGATTCATACTCCGGCGGAATATGTTCAGCGACTTCCAGCGACAAGACCCAGTCGAAGACCCCGATGTTGTGCAACTGAGTCAGATCCAAATGCTGCACCAACCCTGAGCTCATCTCCCGCACACCAATTCCTCCGTCATAGGCCAAGGCTAGTCTGACGCATGACCTCTCACGGAAGTATCTCGTGTACATCCCGATGCGTGCCCCAAGGTCTACTATGGTGTCAGTGGGGTCGACAATTTTGCAAATGCCCTCCGCCAGCTCTTCATTGAACCTAAGCTGATTGACGGCTACAGTGTATAAACCTCCAAAATGAACACTACACAACATACTGTAAGTAACTTGTAAGATCTTTGTATATAAGTGGAACTCGCCTCGAGTTGATTGAACTTGCCAGTGTGCTCGGGCTACATCCAAACGGGGATACGGCTGTTGGGGCTCTGTTTTGCAAGGGTGACCTAGCAAGGTAGCAATGAAAGACCAGGTCCTTAGGAGATTGGTCTGCCAGGTGGACTCCATATAACTCCACGTTTCATTTCTCCTGGCCCACAAACGGTTGCAGGATGGAAACTTCTGACTTTCCAGCAGCACTGTGCAATATGCCCCAGTGCTGGTGATGTTGCGGCCTTCTCGGCACTCAGCCCGGTCTTCTTCAGACTCAGGCTGTCCTAGAACCAGCGCACGCAGCACCTGAAGGAGGCGGGGCAAGTCTCGCATTGTCTGGTAGGTTGTGGGGCTCGTCTGAATCAGGTTGTGACTTTATAATGAATGGCAACGTCTGAACTCGAAAGCCCCAAAGCTTGTGCACAAGATGCACAAACTTGCACGGTTGGACTTGCATGTTTAAGATATCTGGAAGGCAAGAACAATTTCACGGCTTAAGCACACTTATGGACTTGCAAAGCGCACGCATACAATCCCAAGCGGATCCATCCGCCCCATGTGGATCCATCCATCCGCCCCATCTGCCAGCTCCTCCCTCTTCGCCTGCAGCTCGTTGCTCAAGCTCCCGATCTCTGCCTCTAAGGTGGCCACTCGCTCCTCCAAGTTGGCATCCATAGCCACCAGCAGCCAAGCCATTGCGACCAAACGAGACATAATACGCGACATACTTCGATTACTTCTTCACCGCCTTGGCAAATTTACAGTGTATGTATATATATATAACTACTAGGCTGAAAATGGGGAAGTGTCGTTGGTCTCCTCCGATTGCTATGTTCATCTATTTTCTCCTGCGGTGCTTGATGGTTTCGTGGAGAGGGAGTCTCGATCTTGAGGGTTGTCTTGAGGTCTCCAAGGCTGGGATCAGGGGGTGGTCGAGAATGGCTCCGCTCTGCTTATGGGTCAAGAATGGGGTCCAAATGCCACCTTCTCATGTGGGCTCCAAATGCCCTCTGATATTCTTCCGACCCGGCAAATGTTGCATCAGATGTTGTGGCTCTTGAAACAACCAACGAGGGAATGATATGCCCCGGAGCCAAAGTCCTACGCTAACACATGTCTACTTGCCCTTGAGTCGAAGTTGGCATTGTCTTGCCCTCTGGAGTCTCGCAATGATCGACATTTTGTGGAAACTATCAATCACGGGAAAATGAAAAACAAGTCCACCATGAAATCATCACAGGAACAATTTGGTCAAGAAAGTAAAAGGACTCCTTAATCTTTTCGTCACCCGTCGTTCCAGTCAAGAGCTGTTTACATGCAAGGATGTAGGGGTGACAAATCAACCGCCGTGCGGCGTTTGCTTTCCCGGACCTCCAAGTACTCACGAGCAGCGTCCATAGCTGTGACAGCCTCCAAAGGTGTTAAGCCGAAAGACGAAATTTTGGGCAAGTTTGGCTGAAATTGCGAGTGCATGAGTCCATCACACAAGGTTGCCAGAGGCCAAAATGGAAGCGACTCATTGCAAATGTGTCAGCAGTGGTTTCAGAGTAGATGGCACACTCCCCAAAGTCGGTGGTTTATACGGACCCCCATCTAAAAAACCTTTTGGGGTTTGTGCCATCGACTCTGAAACCACAGTATTTAAAGTAAAACAGCAGGGCCCAAAGAGTCCAACATGCACATCTGGGCTCCCACACCCAGTTCAATGAGGAGTTCGAGCGCGGGCAAGAGTCAGTCACAGCACTTGAGCCCAAATTGCCCAAGCTAATATCTATATATATATGTATCATGTACAACAAAAACTGGTTTGCGCATGGAGTTCACAACAAGCATCTCCAGCGCAGTACCCGCTGCTTCCAAGCACTCAGTGCTATCCAGCTTTCCGACGGCCATTCTGATTTGGTCTCTTGGCAAAACATGCAGCTCGCATGTTGGAACGGTCTCTTGCTTAGGGTCCTCTGCCACCAAGCAATACGAGACAAACGAGGCCCCCACTAAGCGCGAAACGTTGCACGCCAGCCTGACACAGGTTGTGTCCAAAGCACTTGGCCCACAAAAAGGACGGCATTCCTTGGCTGGACAGGCCCTCCACTCGAGGCAAAGAGTTACAGCGCAGAAAGTTCAGTCATGCAGGATGGTTTGCTAGGAGCAAACGCATCGCTACTAGGAGCATCGCTACTAGGAGCAAGAACGCTACTAGGAGCTATTAAATCGCTATCTTGATCGCTCTGCCATGACTCCACCAGCTGCACCCCCGAGAGCCCGTGCCAAGCAGCCTACACCGGGCTGGCTGCAGCTTGGTACATCTCCTCACCCCACTCGCCCTGAGCCCCCTGCCAGGGATCTTGATTATCAATCGCTTCAATTGGCAGCATCGCTGTATTTTTTGCGTATTTTGCCCGATGCCAGTGGTCTTCTAGTACGGTCGAGCTTGTTCAGGAAAGTTTGTGGAGACACTTGATGTAACTGAGCATGATCATGGCGCCCGGTGTCCGATATTCCTGCTACAAAATGTAGAAACCTCCATGTCACGTCAAGCACAACAATAGTAGAATATAGTAGATATATGTAGATATACAATACTGAGTGGTAATGAGTTGTATATGTGTACTTTGCACATAACTGCCATGAGGAGCTTCATCCTGTGGTGTCCTCACCTCACATCAACAGCAACTGCAGTCCAAACTCTCACAAAGAGACCGGCCTCCTGCCGCTTCTTGTATGCCTTCATCTCTTTGTCAGTCAAGAGGCACTCATCCAACAAAGCGCGGATAGCTTCCTGGTAAAACTAGACGACGGTTGGCCCGAGAGCGAGACAGGTGATTGTCCAGCACTGTCGGGTCATGAAATAACTAAAATCAAGGTGTCCAAGAGCCATGACTTCTTTATACAATCTGTTATTGAGTAAGAAGTTGCGAAGAAATTACAGTAGATTTAAAAAACCAAGAGAAAAGATGCGTAGAAAGAGAGAAAGAGAGGGCGGATGTGAAGGAGTGACAGTGTGGATGCGCAGGTGTGATATAGATGCGCCGATGTGTGGCTGTGTGGAGGTAGAGAGGTACATCTGCGGATGTGAGTGCGTAAAGAGGTGTGTAGACGTAGCTGCGCAAACGCAACGACAGCGCCCGCATGGCACTGCGACATCACGGACATAATTCGCCGCACGGTCAAAAGAACGGATGAAAAACAGATCTGGCCCAAGAAGCTTCCAATTCCCTCTCTGCAATCTCCAAAGGAAACTACTGTCCATCCTAGTGCAAACACCACTACCCTTGGACACCCGAGATGGTTGACCGAGGTGCTTCTTGCAGCCTTTGGCCAATGAAGACAAGCTCTTGCCGTCGGTCTCCACATTCATCATCCCACTCCTGTCCCCGAAATCGGCTGTGGCAGCCGGGATTCTGTGAGGACTTATGGGTCGGAGGCTGCACGACAAGATGTGCCTTTGGCTGCCTCCACCGCGACCTCATCATCATCATCATCATCACCACCACCATCACCACCACCACCACCACCAGCACCACCACCACCACCAGCACCATCACCATCACCATCACCATCACCATCCATCACCAGGGGCAAAGTCATTGGGAACTGGCCGGGTCCATCTTTTCAGCCACTTCAGATTGTCAGCTACGCTCGGTGAGCGCAGCTCAAGCCTCCGTCCTCCCGTTGGGAGCGCTCGTACTCGCCAGGGCTCAAGCGCTCCATGATTTTCACCTGGCGAACGGACGATGTCAACATGGAGTTACCTGGAACCTGCGTGACCCCAATTTTTGAGGATAACCTACAGTATCACAAACATGGCCTTTTCCCATAAATGGAGGTGAAAGGATGTGAAAGGTTGGTATGATCAAGGGGTGGATTGACAGCAACTGCATTGTTGAACCTGCGGTCGCTGTTCCCCAAGACAGGCATCCTGTTCACGCACAAGGGAGATGCATGCAAGTTGGCCCATCCATGCAAGATGGCGCAAACAACAGAGGCCGGGCCCGTCCACGTGCTCACTCATCATGCCTGTTGCTCCGTCATGGCTCCCCACCAAACGCCGGAATAGGACAGCTTCATGTCCTTTCCGGCCTTGGTCACAGCTAAAACCCCTTCTGCATTCACGGTTGCTGCTGACTTTGGATATGGCTCGATCATTCAAAAGGTTGATTGGGAAAGTGAATGAAAGTGATCCCTGAGTCTCAACACTTGCCAAGCGACATGGCTCCAGTATATCCTGGTGGATGGCTCTTGCTCCAACCAACAGAAGCCTTTGGAGCGGATCACTGTTGCCCTTAGCAATGATCCCAAGCAAAAAAATGCTTCAAAAAGGAAGACTACCTGGACGCTCAGGCTTCCTTCTTTTCTTGCTAGTCCTGGTTCAGCCTTTAGCCTTCATCTTCAAAACACAAGCCAGAGTGCATTGGATGGTCGGTATCAGGATCTGCATCTCCCAGCATTAGCTGCAAATCCGAGTGCTTCGGCACAGGCCACTTCTTCAAAGCCTGGCCCCAGGACCCAGTATGCATATATACATCGAAGTGGAAAATACACCCCCGGAAGACCATGTGGCTCTACAAGCACGGGTTTATGAGTTGCAGAGTCTACCCATCATCTCTTGGCTCTCTCGCCTCAGTGAAGCGCTTCTCGCTGAAGGGTCGCCGCGCGGAGTATGTGAAGGAGGCGATGCCGAAACGCTCCTGGACGCAGAGTTGTTGAGGTGCGTTCGCACTGAACGCTTTCAAGCACTGCCGGAAGATGCTTGCTTATTTTTCTTCTCAAGCAGCTAGCATGCAATCATCGACGTCTCGGCCTCCCTGAGGCACCGCGCGGGTACAACAACTTCCTGCTAACCAATCTACTTTCCTACCATGAAGCCTACTCTTGCAATGGCGACACTGAAGGGTTGGAAGGGCATGCTACAGCACTACATGATGACATGTGACATGCAGATCGCTTCCCTACAGGACGATGGCGCATGTGCATTGCAAGCAGCAGATCTAGCTAAGCCCATGAGGGTTGGGGACCTTCCCAAGCGAGATCTCCTCTGCAGTTGTCTTGCCACCGTGGCTGTGGCTGTGGCCTCAGTCATGCTGTTCGCAAGGATCCGCGTTGCGGATCTGGCACGAATACACCGCCGCGAGTTGAAATGCAGATTCTTCTCACACACTGATTCAAACGTCAAACCATGAATATGCTTCCACAAGCTCACCACCTGAATTCCTACAGGACCACTTCCAACCGCAACAATGGACCTGCAGCATGCACTTGCCACCAATGAAGAAGTTCTGGGTCTCCGACCATGGCTAGGGTCAGTGCAATTGGGGTCATCACCTGCTTGGTGCTTGACAGATTTTGGCAGGAAATCTGCTGGGTCACCATGGGTCTGTAAACCGCTAGGGCTAGAGCGTCGAAGTAAAACAAAGAAAATAGCACAGCTGAGTTACAGTCTTCCGCGTGGCTGTGGCTGTGGCCATGGCTTGCGTCGCTGCAGTTGGGGTCGCTGCAATCTTCTGCGTGGCTGTGGCTGTGTCCATGACCATGACTTTCATCTGTGCATTCAGGATCGTTGCAATCACTGGCATGGCTGTGACCACCGTCATGACCATGTTCCTCGGCGCTCTCAATCAGGCAAGTCGCAAAACACACAACAGCCATCTGCCGTCTTGCTTGGCTGCTTGAAGGGCAAGCCGCTAAGACCTACTTTCAAATCAACTTGGATCCACTGAGGATCTTTCAACTGCTGAATATCCTTAGCCTTTTTGGCCACATACCTGGTTCATGGTCTGATCAGAGGGCTTCAGACTTTAGCCACTTCCAGACTGAGGCTGAGGTGCCTCGTGGCCTCCATGCTCGTGCCCACCATGCTCATGTTTGGCATGACCAACCTGCCAAGTCGACTAGGCGGTTTCTCTTCCCACCCAGCAGAGCCATGTGTCCAAACACCCCATGATGTCATGTCATTCACCGAAATGGCCATATTTGGGACAGGGGAGTTTGAGTGTGCTCTAAGCCACCTTGGTGGTCCTGATGTTGGACAAGAATAAGAAAATTGTATCCTCATGGGATAGCATGTGCGCGAACAATGGGAAAACGGAATGCTGCTGTGCTGCCCCGGAGGCACCTCGCCAAGCACCGTGTCCAAAGCCACCTTGCTGTAGCTGGTCTCCAGAACGGTCGCCTGTCATTGAAGGCATAGTGAAGTCTTGGACAAACCATTCCCTCATTTTTGTACAGAAGTGGCCATGCCGGAAAGCCATCCATAGTCAGTTGCAGCAAAGGAATCATTTGCTGTATATAAAGGTTATGAATGTCCATGGGTCGCGTGGCCAGGTTGCGTGATGATGACGCCTTCTTGTTGATTGCCTTCACCACTGCTCTGGTAGCCTCCACTTGCTCCTGTACAGCGACATTCAATCAGAAACAGACTCTTGCACGAGGACCTTGGAGGGTGGAAGAACTGCTCTTCTGTCTGAAAGAGATCGGACCATCCGGGCCTTGCTGGCCAAGTCCGTCTTGTTGAGAACTACGATGTTTGCAGCCTTGGCCCAGCAAGCTTCTACCTCTTCAGATTGCCCGCCTTTCGCATTTTACCCCCACATGCGGAGATGCATGAACTATAACTACGTAATTACCCAGAGGCACATCGGCCATTCAGTTGCAAAACGAACATGGGATATCCAAACAATCATAAATAGCAGAAAGCGTGGTCCAATGGCACTGGCCTCAGCTTGCTCCACCAGCAACTCCACCACCGAGCAGTCACCCATCTCCCCGACATCGCCATCTACAAGGTCATCCCGCTCCAGGATGTTTTGGTACTCCATGTACTCCTGGAACACCACAGTGTGATGCCAGCCGGGACATAAATAGGACCCAACGTCCGCCCCATGCCCTCATGCATCCCTATTAGAGAACAACAACGACAACATCAACAACATTATCAATCCGGGCGGGAAGCCGGACCTGCACCCTCCCTCGACCACTTCTCCACAACTTGCTTCAGAACGTTCTCCCGAACCTGCTTTGGAACCACCCCCGCCGAACTTCTGTGAATTCCTCTGGAGCACCCCCCAATCCAATCTACCTGCACCACCCACTTGGCATAAGCTGGCCAGTCACAGCCAATGGGAATACTAGAACATTCTTCCTTTTGGGGATGCTAGATTGCTGTCAAATTTCTCAGCCTGTGATGCAAATAAAGCCATACGAGCCCGTTAGCATCTCTACCAATCTCTGAACTGGCCTAGCCAAACCAATTGTCAACTACGCCATCCCGGATGCTGCAGGCAGCTCTCCTCGCAAAATGTGGAGGCATCCAACAAGGTGACGACTTTGCTGAGTTCGAAACCGTTCGCAAGGTAGTACCTTGTGCATGGCACATGTGCACGCATGTGTTGACTGCAGGGCATAAGACAAAAGTACATGGTGCCTAAACCCTGACAGCAAGCGCAACAGAGCCAACGATATAGTGTGATGTGCGGAGCCTGTAGGGGCTAATGGACTTTTGCCTGCAGACATGCATCAAATTACGTACACAAATGGACTCAGATGCTTTCCCAGGACAAGAAACAACATGCATTGATCGTAGGCACGCTACGGGATAGGAATTATATATTGAACCGCTATCAAAGACAAAAATATCCGGTTCTTGCAAGACGTACCAGCAATCCCTCAATCTCAGGCTACTACACTGGTGCGAAGTGCTAAGGGAATTATTCAAATAATCATGATCCATGATCTGATCAACTGCAAAGTAAATCGATCCACCTATTTAGGCGATACTCAACTCAAAATGTCTAGACAAGATGGACGGATAGTTTACGTGGAAGAGGTGGGATAGTTGCTTCACTGTTCACCTCGTTGTGTATGGGGAGCGTTCAGATCGTGTCCGCGAGTCGTGTTACTAATGAACTTCAGTTTGGCTCCGAACATTGAACACCCTTGGAGACCTTTGACAATCTTTGACAGCCCAACTTTAGTGCTTCACCAGGTTGCCCTGAAGCTTTTGCCTGGTCAAAATTCTCCTTCACACGCTGTGGCTCAGCAACACCGCTCCTTACACTCACTTGAGTGTTGCAACGATCAGTGACGAACAGCTCAAGTTGAAGTATAAATTATACTGCATGCTTGAACTGTAGCGATGCAATATATCCAGTTGGGAAATTGCAAAAAGGCAAGGCAAGGAGGCTTGGGCTACTTGTATGGTGCAGACAAGGCTCAATTCCACCACAATCTTGCTGAACGGCTTGTCCTCCCGAAATTCTGGTGACCACTCTATACACGTGCGTTTGTGACTTCACACTGGCACTCACTGTGCCCTGTCACAAAAGAAGGACCCTGTCTTCAGTCTTCACTCAAAAAAGTCCAGCCATAGGGCCATAGGACAGTCGTGTGCAAAGCAACCAAGAGCTAAAACAACAATAATTTGCACTCACACCGAAGATCTCCTGGGTCCCCAGCTCAATAAGATCATAAATACTCACCAAGAGCCTCATGACAAGATCTGAGTGGTTCCAGTCAACTCATCCTGTCAACCAGTTCTCTTGTGTGCAGGGACTGGCCTTGGATTTGAGTGACTGCATAGTAGCAAGGCCGGCTCAATTCTGCTGTTTTTGAAGAGCCCTAATGTATAAGGGGTGCTTAGACATTTGAAGGCTCCCTCGGCAGCTGTATCGACACACTAACAACTAATACCGTAAACGCTAAATTACGGCTGGTATTTCAGGGTATGCAATGAGGTTCGACCGGTAGCTACGACAATCTTCAATTCCGAATCCAATTGAAGAAAGCTGCTCATCACCCAGTGAACAGCAAGCACACCCATTCCTCAGATAAATTTGGCAAATGTGTGTGTGTGTGGGCGGTTCGGCCTTCCACAATGTGAGGATGGACATTGTTGCAATCCAGTCTTGGCATGTTTGTGGGCATGTATTTCACACCGTTTATATAACGATATTTCATTTGACCGTTTCAGCAAGTTGCTGGAGCTGGATGGCATTCACCTCACCCTCACGGTTGTAGGTCATCTGTTGGACCTTGCAGAACCGTGTTGGCTTTCAGCACAACCTGCCCAAAACACATGTTGATACGTCGTGAGGCTCATTGCAGCTAGGTATCTAGTTTCGAATCGATGTTGACTGCCGCTACATCGTTCACCACCACGCCTGCACAAAGAGGACGGCACTCACTGGATTGCGGTGACTCTGATAGGTAAAGCAAAAGAATATATATACAGTATATATATATATATGTCCTCGGCACTAAGTGTGTGACACCGTGCGAAAAGCTGCAAGCCGAACAGCAGATCAAATGAATCAACCGACAACCGATGATCCAAACAATTCACTGAAGGCCTTGAAATGTTCAGCTGCTCAGCTGATACCAGATTCTGGGCCCCTGTCAGTCCCAGAAAATCCAAGTGGCACGCCTACCCGATCGGTGGAAGTTTCCAACCAATGTCGCAGCAGCGTTGTTTTCCCGGTGCCGAGAAAGCCGCTCAGCAGGATCACCGGAACCTCAGTTTCTTCGCCCAAGTGTCAGAAACGCAAGTTACCCACGTACTGGTCACATACCCTCAGATCTCAGACTTGATACCCCATGGCGTTGACAATGCGTTGAAACACGCTAAAATAACACTGTCTTCAAAATCATCACACGTGTTTTGGCACGATAGAGGCCTGCAACTGCTTGATATTCGAGTAGCGGACCGGTCAGTTAAGCACTGCTTGATATGAGTCATGAGTGAGAAAATCTTCAAAAATATAAACAACCCTTCTCCTCACTTCCCTTTGAATACTTGATGAATCTTGTTGGATGGGACATGTACTGGCACTCCTTTGGGGCCCCCTTTCCCATGGCTCCCAGCCGGTTTCGGCAGCTTTGTCTCCACCTGGCTAGCTGCGCAGCGGAACACGGCTGGCCTCACAGACCAAAGGCCAAGAGGGACAACAAAAAGTGTGCTCAAGTGAAATGCATAGATTTTCGCTGTGAGAGCATGTGAGAGACACACGAAAGCTTTTAAATCTGGATTCTTGATACATGAAATGGTGACCATTCACCTAACGTACCTGGACCTACCTGCTTCTGGAGTGGACAGCCGTCCATTGCATCCATGCCTCCGTCTTCTCTTGTGCAAATGGGAAGTGCCACTCAAAAGGGGCACCGCTGCAAGGGCTGCAAAACCGCCTCCAGAAGCATTGCGGACAGGGCCTGGAACCAAAAGACATGTTGTTATTCTTAGACTGGTCCTTCATGCTGGTGTCCGACGCAGGATCCGATTCCTAATAAACACCTTTCTACAGCGCCAACACCAAGTGCACCTGCACCAGAGGCCAGGCGGGGAATAGCTCCAGAGGCCAGGCCCTGGAGCTGCTTCTGTCAGGTAGGTTTGGCAAGTTGGCCGGTGTCGAATTGAAGACTAAACTTGTGGCACTGGTAACTGCAGTGATGTGTGTTTTTGGGGCAGGCTGCTAAGACGAAACCTTCGTAACCTATGATGAGAGGGTTTCTCAAATATCCTTGGGCTCATTTCAAATCGGCCAGGCCAGGGTGCTAGGGCTGGGAAGGTTCAAACGTCAAACGACCACTATTATTGCAACATGGATCCGTGAACTTTAGCTTTTCACCCTTCGCCTGTGGAATCGCCCTGTGTGCTTGGAGCGCCCGGACTGCCAAACCATGACAGCCTTGCGAACAAAGCGCCACCGATGAGCTTCGGAAACCATCTCAATGTCTCGATAAAGGCATGCCTCCCCCATAGTGTCCCATAGAGGAGTAAAGCGCACGTGACATGTCGCTAGTTCTTAATTGAAACTTGAGAGCCCAAAGATGCATTCGGATCGGATTCATCCCTTCTTCCTAGTGTAGGCGGGCCCCTGCTCCCCAGGCACAAAAATACTTGGGAGAGGTGTTAGCCTTTATAAAAGGAAGTCTGGATGCATCAGTTTGAAGGCTAGATTTGCAAAAGGACAAGGAGAAAAAAAACTAAGAAGTTTGAGTCTAAATTGGATGAAAGCTGTGATTTGGTTCAAGGACCTTCAGATTTGGATTGATTGGGTTTGGTTATATATATAGGGCTAAACAGTAAGATGGACCCCAACGGAGACAATCCGGTTTGCAGTGCGGTTCTTACCGCCTCGCAGGGGCAAACTTCGCTCCGCAGCGGCCATTGCAGATCTCATCGATCTATGTTGTGAAGACTTGAGCCAGTCAACAAAAGCGCAAAAGGCAAGATTACTCCAATACCCTACCAGGGAAAATATGGACCAGGGGTGGGTAAGGGTCAACAAAATTGATGCATGCGTTACAAATCCTTTTGGTAGGGGTTCTTGCATGGAATTACACCGGCATAGACCCCAGATAGCGGGTGTATAGGCTTGTCACCCCTTGCATGACATGATGTCATCCCTGGACCAGCACTAGCACGGCAGCAACACCCGCAAAACAAAACACCAATCCAGAGCCAGCCCGTCCATAGCCAGCACCTGCGCCTGCACCAGCATCAGCACGGCAGCAGCACCTGCAAAACCAAAACGCCGATCGCACCTGCACCAGCATCAGCACGGCAGCACCACCCGCAAAACAAAAACGCCGATTCAGAGCCACACCATTGAGAAGTTAGAACCCCTATAGCCTGCAGCTATCTGGCGAAAAAGGTGCTTCCTTGTGATCAGAGATCCACAAAAAAGAGGCAAACATGCATCATGCATCTGGTGATCGAATGTATTGGCCGAGCCAGCTTTGCATACGCATGGTTAAGCTTGATGCTCGAGGACTTTGAATTCTAGGTCCCTGTCAGACTGTCTGAATGCAAGGATGCCAAGAAGCCCAAACCAACTTGGTCCAGAATCAACCTAGCAATCCACCAGTACGAAAGTGCTTGATGTGGACCTAGATTCCCTAGATCAAGAGATCAAGGCACTTCAAGACGTGCTTTGGCATTGCCAGCCACTCTGCGGCTCTACACGCCTGCCTTGATTAAAACGCACCTACCGACACGTCAGCCACGTCATCTTCATATCCAAGCCGAGTTGCAAGTTACCCTTGTTGGATGTGTTTGTCCTGTCTAAGCAGCAAGTACGGAAGTGAGTGAAGCCATATTATCTCTTTTGGCTGCGTGTTTGCTGACTGCGGCTAATGAGGACCACCAAAGGCGGCTCATTCAGAATGAGGAGAGCTATATACATGAATTCACCTCAGCGAGGCGTCGAGCCGTGCTCATGTCAAGAACTGCATAGGCCGCTTGACATCGGGAAGAAGGTGTGCCCTACCTCCTAAAGTGCTGACCTTGAAAAGAAACACTGGCCACCTCCTCCAATTCGGCAAGCAGTGCACATGAAAGTTGGAGACCGACCGATACGTCACTGTGCTCAAAGCTTTCATCAAGTCAGAACATCCACCAGTCAAAATCTTCCATGAAGGCTTCGGTTGTGGCCTGATTGCTGAAGCCCTTGATAAGAAAAACAATGAAAAACATGCCAAGCGTCTGGATTGCACAAAGCGCCAGGAGGCCCAAACCTCGGCATCTGCAAGACAGCTGTATAGTAATATTGAAATCAATGTGTCTCAGCTAGAACTCACCCAATGACCAATGAGCCATGGCAGCACTTCCAAAGTTGGCAGTCTCTCGCGTGTAGTGGGATGCTCAAAAAGCAGCAGCATATGCTGATATCCAAGCCAAATCCATAAAGAGCAGGGTTTAAGTGTAGTCCATAATCTACCGGATCTACCGTAAGCATATGAATCCACCCTGAGGAGTTGTGACCAGGAGGCCCTCTGCTGCCACGGCGGCATCCGCTGCCGCAACGGCCTCCGCGGCGGCCGCCGCCTCCGCCGCAGTTGCGGCTTCGCCTGCGGCAGCGCCGCCAGCAGCCTTGGCTCCAAAAAGGAAAGCGAAGCGAAAATCACCATAAAGGTAGGTTCGCGACCACACCATGTCCTTAGGAGCCCATTCTATGTGGGTACTATGCTACTACTCCTTGTTGGCAGCACAAGGGGTTTAAATATAAAGATTCAGCCTCAAGCGCAGCAACCCTAAAATCTGTGCCGCCGCTGACTCAACTCGTTGTTGGTAACCCCATCCTTTAGAACTTCAGTTTTTCCATGACATCCCTCCAACCACAGCTCCGCCCGAAAGTGGATCCTCGACGATGCAACGCCGAGGACCACATCTGCGGCGGCTGTCCCTTCAACGCCCAGTGCCGCATCTGCCGCAGCAGTGGCCTCCACAGTGGCACCAGCCTGGCGGACACGGAGCTGTCCAACCGGGTCCGTCTAAGCGGGTCGGTTTCGTTTCGCCGTCGCCCGGTGTTTTGGTCCATCAATGTTTCATGATGTTGTCGTTTAATGAAAGTGTTGGGGCTGCTGCTTAAGCTGCATTCACATTCCTCAAGTTCCTGCACACTTCGTAAATAGTCTTAGAAGCCCTTCAACGCCAGACCTCCGCGACGGCCGTCGCACCCGCTGCACCTGCAAGTGTTGTCTGTCTCTGCACGTCTCGGATCAACCAATCAAAGGGCATTTGGCTGTGGGTCATGGCACCGGGCTACCTGGGTTGACCACCAAACATGAACAGAATGGACTATTAAGGAGGTCAACCTACCCAGGTTTGGGGAGATGGCCTTTGACATCTTTTGATCATGTGTGGTGGACAGCCACAAGTCCGCAACTTCTTCATTCTTCTTGCGATGCCACAGCAATGTTCTGTGCTTGAGTGAGCCAACGGGAGAGAAAAGAAAGAAAGAAAGATACGCCTTCGGCCGCCACGGCAGCACCTCCACCCATCACGGCAGCATCCGCCAGCAACTGAGCAACGATGGTGGGAATTCCTATCAATCAACTCCAACGAAGCTAAAGCATGCTAAAGCGCGACAATGTCTTTGGCGCAGTCGAGGCTTCTGATAGTGTTTGCTGCACTCTCTGTTTAGAGGGGGCAGTTTGGTACCAATTACCTAGGAGTTGTTCACATGGAGGTATCCCCTTCTGTAAATCAACCAACCCATAGTAAACGGCCATCTACTCGACTACTGCCTCGCCCACTCCACCAAGACACGCTCGACTCGAAACAGAGCGATGCAGCAGTGGTGCAAGCGGTCGCAAAGACCTCAGGATGGAACTGGAATACCTCCTGGAATGACTGGACTGGAAATCCACCTGAGGTATTCCGACTCATGGACTACCAGGTGTTTTTGCTGGTGTGTGAATCATTCCGACTCTACCATTCCACCCATGGATCTACCCCTGGAATAACTTTTTTGAGGTGACGGGCTTCCCTTGATACACAAAAGGCTATACTCGGTAGAGCAAGACAAATCCCGGAAAAGCTTGCGTGCCTATCGAGCATTTCATGTCAAAGTCATGTCTCCAAGAACAAACACAGCCTCGGGCGGCTTGGATGGTTTTCTTGATGCCCCGCATTATCGCAATGCATCAGTATCGCAATTATCCTACAGTCCTGCAGCAACCCTCAAACTCCGGCATGACACCGACATGATGCAGCTGCCAATCGCAACAACTGTAGAGAGGATGCAGGCTCGGAAGCCCTTGCAAAGCCTGAGTGAGGCAAAAATTGGAGCACCTGCTGAACATGCCTATGGAGACCTTCACACCAGTCACGTTGAGTACTGTGGCTTCCTGTGGCCGCGGCAGGAGCAGAAGCGCCAGCAGACTGATGCCAAGCCAGCCCCACTCCATGAGAGGCAGCTCAGGCACTTCTCCTGGCTGAACTGGAGTGAGCTCAAGGGCATTGTTGTCGTTGCCCGACTGTCATCGGAAAGTCTGCTGCGACCACATTGAAATGGAATTCATCTCTAGGGTGTTTTTCGAAGGGCATTTCCGGAGAATATCAAGTGAGTGTCCTCGAGCCACTTTCTCAGGATGAGGAGGCAAACCCCAGTATCGGAACGTACCAGCTGCCCAAGCAGCTATCAGAAGGACTAGAACTCCAACCTGCAGCTGACTCTCAACAATAAGGTACAAAGAGCGGAGTGATGATGGAATGCTCAAGCTGAAAAACCACAGCTACGCATCACAAGAAGCACCAGAATGCTGAGCCTTGGGTAAGCTGAGCATACAAAGATTTCAACCAAGTCACCTTTCGAGCAATGCCTCCTTGATACGTCGATCTGATTGGTGTGACAATTGGCCAAGTGGCAACTTTCACAGCCTTGCGAGGGCCAAGTCTTCACTGCTTCACTGCAGCTCGGAAGGCTGCCTATTGACTGGACATGGTTTCCCTTCCCCTGGTGTTTCAAACTTGAATTCAATCGTCCTGGTGCACAAATCAAGGCTGATGACTATCACTACTCCGTAGGTTTGATCCGTTTTCCGGCATTCAAGAAGAATCTCACAATCTCGCCCTCTCACAATTTCACGGTCGATGGAACTAGCTCTTGCGGCACAACCTTGCACGTATCGGGATAAGTGTTTCTTCTTGTAGAGCCTCATGTTACCATGCTACCCTATTTTGCCTGGCGAGGCGATGGGCATCCCAACAGGCCCAACTCGATGTGTTACTGGTGGCTTTGGCTAGCCGGACAAGCTGCAGGGCGGAGCTTCTCCCGACACCACTCCGACCTGTGCGAGGGCTGAAAGAAGATGGCCGAGGGGATCCAGTTGAACGTCTGAGTTGATGGAATGGCGTATATACTGTACCAACAAAAGAGCTTTGGTCAACAAAACAAAAACCAACGCGCACGACAGTGTGGCACAGCTTGAATAATATACTGTTTTTTGCGGTATAATACTATGTATATAAAAATGTATCAAACCATATTATATAAATCTACAAACCTAACTTGGTGCAGCACAAAACTCTCCAAAATGTATAATTAGCCGTATAGCCATCCTGCTGCATCGCAGCTCCTTCCCCAAGACAACGTGACTGGAAATCTTTGGGTCTTGGCCCACTGCCATTGTTCAATCAAGCTATCGACAGAAAAAACGCCATGCCATTCCATGCCGTCACGCTGCATCATGTAGCAGTAGATGAGCGTGACCAAAAGCGTCATGGACCAACTTCTCCAGGATGAAAGCATGGCAGGCACTTCTTGCACCCTCGAAACCCACAGCTCGGAAGGGTTTCGAAGAAATGGGACGACTTAACGGTGGGAAAATGCCTTTGGGTTCAGGGGGGCAGCGTTGGGATCTTTGAAGCTCAGTGATTCCAACGACCAGTTTTGGTGCGAGGATTGCTTGGGCTTTTGCTGTGTCAATCGGCGATTGCCAGTCCCGTCCCCCACTCAGAAGGTGGACCTTCTTTTGTGTCTGGGGAAGTGGAACACCGTTTTTCAGCACGGCTGCATGTCCAATGCAACTTATCGACTTAAAATGTTCCAACGAGGTCTGCAAACAAGCTCTAACTCCAATCATATCGAGTCAAGGCTCACCACTGAGGACATAGATGGCACGTGAATTCCTACCTCAGCAGAAGATGCACCATTCAGGGACTTCGCATATCAAATGCCAAGAAGTTCGTTGCGGTTGCACAGGCCAATGTGTATATGACATGCTCGTGGGCCCAAGCTGCATGGCACTGCCCACCGATGAGCACTCCGCTAGTGCCGTTGGAAAGCTGGCACACAACGGCCTTCCTCGGAGCTCAGTGAGCCTTTCTTCATTCCAATCGATTCCCATCATCTCATCTGTTTGGATTCCTTCCGATTTTGTCGGGGCTTGTGCTTGAGAACCCAAGTAGAGGGAGGTGGCATCAACCTCAGAACGACCCGCTGTTAGTGGTGCATCTTCGCTCGATCCCCATCCCAGCTGCTCCGTGAGGAAAAGATAGGAAAAGTCTTTCACTCTGCATGCCCACATTTAAGCTCAAGCATCTGATAGCTGCTCGCCCCATCCCAGTTGGCAGTGGGCTTCAAGCATGGCACTGCATAAAGGTTACACCACCTCAAGGAAAAAGCACAAAGCACTGGTGTGTGTGTGTGTGTGAGTTCAATGCTCGTGTCATATCATTTCGGTGTAGCTTTTAAGTAACTTGAGCACCCAAATGCCTGTTTCCACCTGACAGTACACAGACATAGACCAGGTCTTCTGTCGACAATGATGACAAGGGCATGACACCGCTGACGTTGTTCAACACCTAAACATTCCCCGCTGACGTCGCTCTTCCAACCTGGTGGTGTTGTACCAATCGATCGCCTGACAGCCAGGATGCCTGAAACAGCGACTGGGCGGGTAGACAGAGGCCATAAACGAGCCACACATGGAAATATTTCAGAGAACTCACAGCATTCCCTGCTTCAAGTCTGCCAACACTGCAAGACCGAATATCATGTTTAACACATAAAGGTTAAAGAAATGTCACAGACCGTTCATACGGCCCGCATGCTTCGCGATGTTCTTACAGTACCGATCGCCGAGGTGCTGGTTGCACAAGGTCTCGCACGCATGCAAACCACCGGAAAGATCTTTCTTGTGAGCCACAAGTTTGGGCCCATTCCCATCATCATTTGACTCACAGGCCTCAAATGGCTAACAAAGGCCAGGTTGACTGATCAAAAGAGCTGTGGAGTGATCTGAAACATCGCCGCCAATCCAATGCGCTTTCAGACTAAGTTCTGCAAAAGGCTCGGCAATCATATTAAATAGACCTGACCTGCCCCTACACTCTATTGCACGTCGCATCGAAGGTCTACATTGCGATCCGTTGCACGGCATTGCGATCCGTTGCACGGACCCTGTTGAGGTTCGGGCATATTTCGTGCTGATGGGAATCCACAACGGTTGGCTCAAAGGTCCTGTGGTCATGCTGACACCTGAGCTTTAGCCTCAAGCATAGGTGGGTCTCACATCTTGACTTGTGGAGAGTATGCGGTGAAAGGACGCAAATCAAGAACAAATAGAAGAAGAAAAAAGGAACGTTCTAGCGTCTTTGGATATACTATATACATCATAACAATCATAACATATCATACATATTCATACATTGCGTTTTGTGTCCTTTTGATTGAATTGTTTGAATTCGCTCGTTTGTAGAGAACCCGGTTCAATCAATATAACAGCTCTCCTGATAGGAAGATGTAGTTCACCGCTAAGACAAGCAGCGACCTGTCGTACACACAAAACGACAAAGCTCACGAAAGCATGTAAACATGTTCTGAGATGTTTGGAGGGTAGCTGTCAGCAAAGCCAGCCGTTTCTCCAGTGTTCATCTTGCTAATTCACGGTGCTGATGAAGCCAAATGGGAAAGCAAGCCATGCCGGCGAATTTCACCTGCAGAAAGTTGCCCCCAACATAGGTATCCTCATGGATTAGAATTGCTTCTTCTTCCCCTTATATACATCGGCTGCTTCGCAGTTCCGCAATCAAGAAACTTGCAAATTGGGTTTTACATAGGGACCTAGCAGCAACCCCTGTGGACGACCGACTGCAAACTAGCTAGTTCCTGCTTGTCCAACCGTGATTAGCTAGCCTGGAAAGTGTCATGATCGGTCATAGTCTAGTGCAGAATTGGCGCTCGAAGGCATACGTTACCGATTGAAGACAAGCCGCCCTTTCAAACACCATGAGCAGGTAAGGCGTGCGCAGCAAAGCTGAAAGCAATGCACATGTCGCGCCTGGCAAAGAAACTCATTCACGGAAAATGCCCATATATGTGGCCGCTGGTGCTTCTTCATTGGATGGATTTCAAGGTCTTCTGCGAGCGGATGACTGATGGATGACTGATGGCCCTGCCTCCACACAGCGTCTCTCCCCACAGCAGGCTTCCTTAATGGGGCGCCGGCTTCGCCGGCTGCGTTTGGAACGACTACCTCGGCCAATGTGCAAGCTGACTCTGCCTCTGTCAAACAATTGGAAGAGTTGAGCCTGATTCGAGGGCACCTGGAGCCACTCTCTCGTTCCAGGTGCTATACACGGATCACCATGCAAGGGTGGGCTAACAGTTGCAGGCATCCAAAACATCTGCTGACAAGACCTGAAAACTCTCCAATTGCACCCAGGAGCGTCGGTTCCGGCGGTTCCCGCGGTTGTCATCTGGCTCATCCTAGTGCAACTGCTGCCATGCTCCGTCACCAAAAAAAGCAGCCCGCCCAAAGCACAAGGATTTCACTATATGGGTGGCTACTAACACCAATCTGCGCATCGTTGACCAGTCTAATTCGAGTTGTGCCAAGGATCAATAGAAGACTCACCTTGTTCAGCTTCCCGGTGGCAATTCTCCTCACACAGACTGCTCCACAGTTGCTCCCGCCCAGGTCTCAAAGAAAAATACACCAATGAAGGGAGCTGGTTCAGCGTGGCTGCAACAGTTGGACGGCTTGGGCCCGGCCCTGGGCGGCCCTGCCTGATGTTTGGGCTCGTCCTGGAACACCTGCGAGTTCCGTTGCGAACCTGCGGGCGTCGCAATACCTGAGCCAACTTCTGAGCTGCACCACGCATGTGCACATGCAAGACAATGCAAAAACGTACACAAGCAAGATGGAGCCCAGACTGGCTGAAAGAGGCATGAGCATGTCCAGTAACATGCAGTAACCTTCGATTTCAGGAGGGCCTGATTGACAGATCAACTGCTGCCAAGCATCTGTGGTAGGTTGTGACAGGCACCACCTCTCATAGGATTTACCAAACGCACTTACAGCTGTGAGTGTAACTTCACAACCGCTTGAGCAACAGCAATGAAGCGGGAACAACTCTCTGATATTCTGATTTGAACTTGGGATTTGAAGACGACTTGAGACAACCACTGAAGGAACACGACAACAGCAACCGCAGCTACTTCTGGCACCACTCAAACCAGAAGTAGGGTTCTTCGACCGTGTGAAGCCACCGCTTCTCGCAGAAACATGTGTGGTGCAATTGTCAGAACATGGCCCCTACAAATGGTGTTGTGGTATGACATAGCCTTGCTCATAAGACTTTATTCACCGCAAAACCACTACCGCCGTCTTCACATGAAACCGCAACAAACCAATCTTGAGGCTTGAGTCCTGGACGTGGAGCATCTAGAGTGAATCCTCATCCCTTATGGCATGCAGGGAGAACTCCGCAATTACGGTGATTCCAGTCAACAGAATGCAAGGCCACTGGGTCTACGCATAAAGCTATGGCTATACCTGACACGATCGTTCAGACAGATGGCCTGGCCTGATGTTTTTCCCACTCCGACTCCTGGAAGACGAACGAGTTCCGTTGTGAACTCCCTGGTGTAGCGATACCTGGGCCGATACCATGTAGATGCGGTCCACATCCTAAGACATGAAGGTAAATAACTTATGCAGATCGCTGCAGATCTCGCCGTGTAATTCTATGTTTGTGCGGCCCGTTTTCTTGACATAGATCGCAAAAGCAATTCGAGGCATATCATCGTGTGACATTCAAAGTTCTCCCGCCTCACCCCAAACAGTGGGACTCTACTAACACAAAAAGGTGTCCTCCTTCACTTGGTTTTGGACGGTCGCAACAACTTGATGATACTGTATCTCCAAATGCCGTCTAGTTTCTATGGAATGTCGTTGGTGATGTGGGTCCCTGACACGCAGAGCAACAAAACCCTGTCGCTCAACACTCTGTCGTACTCTGTCTATCTTGCCATGTGTTCACGGGTTCACTCAGCTTTGCACTCCGCAAGTTCCTTCGCGGCTACATTTGCTAGGCCCAAATGAGTTCCAAATACTTCGATCGGCGCTGTGAGATCGATCCATGACCTAAAAAAATACCAATGTTTCTCCAGCTGCATGGAAGCTCAACAACATATCCAGCGTTCTTTTCGAAGCTGGAGTTCTTTGGTAGTCTCTTGCAGTGTATTTTGCGGGTTTCTCGTCATTATATATCTTATCCCTAAAGCTAAGCGTGCTTGTGGGTTTGTGTTTGATGGTGACAGTTTCCGCCCAGCCCCAGGGAGCAGTGCCTGGCCTGAGAACATGCGCGGTTTAAAGTTAAAAACATGCCAGCAGCAACTTTCTTGTCCCAAACCCCATCCAGGCGGAAAACGTTTGGGCGCTCCCAATTGTACCGCTGAAGATCCCTTCATTCCTTGCTACATTTTTGGTGCCCAGTTCCATCGCAAGGCTGTATATTCAGGCGGTTTGCAAAGCCGTACCCTCTTTGAACTCAGCAAGTAACCTTTAGAAAGCTGAACAAACCAAATGAGTGGTGCTGCCAACATGTTCAGCGCTTGGGAAAAGCGCGATCCACCACATGAATCAAACCAAAAACATAGTGAGGGATATGAAAAAAGGATCAGCACCAAAAAATATTCAAGAGGTATCAAAAAGAAAAAGATCAAAAAAATATTCACAGCGAAGAAAAAGACAATGGGGAAAGGACAGTAGTAGTAGTGGCAGTAGTAGTAATAGTAGTAGCAGTAGGAGTAGTAGTAGAAGAAGTTGTAGGGGTAGTAGTAGAAGTAAGGAAGTAGGACGGGTAGGCACAGTGCTTCCTACTAAGCGAAGGTTTCTGGCTGCCACGCTAGGCGAAGGTGGGCCTTATCATCCACCTTGGTGGCAGCGTCAAAGCAAAGAAGATAGTAGTTGTGGTAACTGTGGTAAGACTCGTAGTGGGGTGGTCGGAGTGTTGGAGGCACTGGTAACAGCAGGGGTAGTGGCAACTATTAAAAAGCCGGGAGGGCGCAGCACCTCCCCCGCAATGCAAATCAAGTGTGGACAGCGCTGGGCTACTTCGTTTCTTGATTGCCTTAATTGGGAATGCCCTACCAGCGAGCTAGCACCCCACTCGGAAGCTATCTCTCTACTAGGGAGCTACCAAGACTGAAGGACCATAAGACCAGCGGACTAGGAGACCAAGGGACTAGGTCTAGGTGCCCACTGGACCAAGAGACCGAAGGAGCAGCGAAGCAGGAGAGCAAGAGACCAGCGGACCAGGAGAGCAAAGGACCAGGGGACCAGAGGACTAGAAAAAAAAGACCAGGGGACCTAGTCAGGATTATGTTTTTGATACTGCTCATTTTTTAAAGACCCTGTTTTTTCTTTTTGCTCCTGTTCTGATTTTGTTATGATCCTGATGCTCCAAAAAAACACTATACAAACCCCGTGCAAATCATGACATGATTCGCAATGGCTAGTTTAGCGTGTGGTACTCTTTCTTCGCTGACGATCGCCACCTCGAAAGTCCGCGGGTTCGATGCACTGAGCTTCTCCAGCGCAGCAGCGGCACGGTCCAGGGCCATGTTGATATCCGCCTCCCAGGCAGCAAGACGTAGGAGTCGAATGGCTGACGGATTTACCCTCACAGAGGACATGCGTTCTTGGCGGACTCTACAGAAGCATCGGGATCCTGATTTACCAACCGGCATGTAGCTCGTTTCACGGATCCCCTCTGCATGATACATGTGTTTGGGCGCCAGCGCCCGAACACATTCAAACACCACCTGCGACTGGTGCCACGTCTGTGAAGGCTCCATGGCGGCCGCCTCCGGCTGCAACAACGGTTGCCTGCAGGGAGGCGCAGGAAGCGACAGCACAGAAGAGACACCATACTATCGGGATTTTTTTGCCGAAACCCCCGCTGGCAAACCCAAGGCAGCTACAACGGGGAAACAACACAAAAATGTCCCGGCAAAAGGCCCCAAACGCTACACGTCTACGGTCTAGAGGTGTAGAGGCAGAAGGTCTAGAGATCTAAACGCATTGGGTTGCAGAGAAAGGTGGTGGTGGTGACGATGACGGTGGCGGTGGCGGCGGCGGCGGTGGTGGTGCTGGTGATCGAAGTTCACAAACCAAGTGTAGAATTGAAGGTTTAAGTCCAGAGTTGCGCAGGCCTAGAGATGTCTAGAGATCTAGAGCTGGAGGTCTAGAGAGCGCACATGTGAAAGGGTAAAAAAGCACGCGCATCAGAGCAGGGTTGCTGCGCCCCCACGACTCCCACGAAATCTGCACTTCAAGGCCAAATCCTGCACATCAAGGTTGACAAGGCGCTGTGCCTGCCACGACATCTGCACGTCAAAATTCAGATCGTGCAGCCCTGCCCAGGCCTTTCGGAGCAAGAGCACCTCCAAAGATCAAGATACCAAAGCGTAGCTTTTTACTCGAGACTTCCCTGGATTTCTGAAACAGCCACATGTCCAAAGTCACGATTCACCGCACCTGCCACGAAATCAGACTGCGCCGAGGAAGCCACCACCATGTCCAAAGCACAGCGCGTGCCACGAAGTGTCCCTTTTGCCTGCCACAAAAAGTGACCAAGCCCGAAAATGCGCGCAGCACGACAATGAGAGCGTAGTCGAGAAGAGAACCCGCGGCAGCCCACCAATTTCTGCGAGCCTGTGCAGTCGAAATATGCACTTCGAAGATCTCGAGGTGAATGAATGAGCAGCGAATTAGCTGCAAACGAGAGCCTCCGATCAGACACCCGGTCTTAACACTTACCGTAAGAACCGTTAGTGTTGCCCCACTGTTTGGGGAAATGTACATGTATGAATGCATGTACGTGAACCAACCCGCTATCAACAATTCAACGATCCCTTCATAAGAAAGAGCTTGTATCCATGTCAGTCATTCATGTTGAAAAGTATGCTACAGCGCCCATGTATGCATCATGAGCAAGGAAAGATTCCCAGCCTCATCTCTTCCACTGGATCCTTGCTCCATGTTGGGTCGAAGTCTGAACCAGTCCCAGAAGGCCTGCAGGGCATCAAAGTTGGCCCGCAGCATCAAGAGAGCAAGGTGCACATGACAAGCGGAAATGCCCAGCAGAGTCTGCAGTACTTAACCGTCTTAACCGCGAACTCCGCAACTCAATCTACTAGTTGCCTCAGGTCTGGTGGCTGCGAGTCTGCCATGGCGACTTCCGGGCAATTATTGGCTGTGGAAAATCGGCGTGATGAAGTGGTAGCTTGGTAGAAACTGCTGGGTGGTCGGCAAATTAAGCCGGTAGCATTCCGAATGATCTATGTTGGGAAATGTGGATGCTGAAAGAGATCCTTCGGCCAGAGAAATGGAACGACCTGTTGGAACGGGTGACCCGGTGGTGCAGCATCTCTCACGTGACATTTATATAAGTCTTGCTGAGTCGAGCGACTGGCTTTCCATGCTTTTCCAGCATATCTCCCACAAACAAGTTCTTGCACGTTCAGCAGGAGAGTTTGTTAGCAAGCTCAAGTTGGAGCCAGGACCGCAGCGGCGTGGCAGACCCTGAACAGTAACACAAAGCCTGGCTGCCCAACTATGAAGGGATATATAATATAGTAGGTTAAAGTGAAAGGATTGGTTAATTGGTTATGTAACTGTAATGTAATCAAGAAACCAAATTCCGTTGCCCCACTCCAGCTTCGAGTTTTCCCCCTCACTGCGGAAGCATCATCGCTGCCCACACGAAGGGCGGCCGCAGCATCGGACTCGCTGCATCTGGGAAGGGGTCGTGAAGCCTTGGACGATGAGATGTTCCCAGACATGGGTGTAAGGCTAAGGCTGGGAAAATCGACTGGAAACCATCGGAACGCCCCCCACCCCGGGTTTGTCACCTTTTCACCCCAAAATGAGAGGTTTCCGGTAGCTTTTCCCTTAAACCACTTCTGGGAGACTGACGTCAAGAAACCCTTAGGTCATACCAACATCGCAACTCTTCATCACATAGCCGGCCTGCCGGTCGCTTCAAGCGTTAGTAACTAGCGATAGCCACTTGAGCTTTTAGAAGCCTTGTCGCCTTGTTGCAGCCAGGACGCAGCTCAAACCTTCAGAGTTTCAAACATCAGCCATGGACAAGAAAGCCAGGATGCATTGCACTGAGTCAAGCTGACTTTGTCGTGAGAATACATGGCGTCTGCAAGTCGGTCAAGTCCAGAGAGGCCAACCCATTTTCCGCTTTGATCAATTGGTACGGTTTCGGACTCATTCCCTGTGGGAATCAAAATCCGGAGCTCCAAGAGCAAACAAACCTGCAAAGAATCCAATTTACAATAGTTCCTGGAAATTCTGTGAACATGCGAGGTGCTGCTAGATGTTTGCCCAGGAACCGAAAGAGTTCGCCAAGCACATACCTTGGTCGTTGTCAATTACATACCTTGTAGCGGTGGATTCTGGCAGATCTGCGGCTGCATCAAATTTGCGTTCGAAAAGGTCAGGAAGATTCCAAACATTATAGGGTGCATGGACAGCAAATAGGCACACACATACACAAAAAAATAGGTATGCATGTGTATATATATATATATTCAAGTATGTTTGATGTTTGCCGTAAACCTTTGATTGCTCAAGCATGCTCAACACTAGTCCAGACCTTGCTCCAACCCAAAGGCAAAGAGCTGACCATTTGGATCGAAGCACGCACTAGATGGAAAATCAGAGCCGGCCGCCTCTCGTGGCCAAGCGCGACGGAAGGTCACTATAAGTCACTGTTCATCTCGTCCGTACACCAACGCCTAAGGTGCTGGCGGAAGAGGCCAGCGTGGCAAAAGCATGGCAGCTCAGCCGAGAAGTGAAATGTGGACACTTTTCTGGGGACCGGGAAGCCGTGCGGTCAAGAGGGTGCGTTGGCTCGACTAAGGGGGACAATTGGATGATTGACCCACTTGCAAAAAGGAATGGCCGGAATGGCCCACTGTGAGAAGAAAACACACCACAAAAAAATGAAATACAATCTTCCGGCACCAAGGTGCCAAAGCCACCAGGGTTGGCAATGCTTACTTGGTCGATTTCAAGTTTTGGATCTCTGCCTTTAGCTGCTCAAGCTCCGCCTTTTGGTTGTCAATCTGCCGCTCATCCTGGCGTTGCTGATTCTCCAAGAGCCGATCTGCATTGCTGGGTCCACTGTGGTTCCCCCCGGAGATCGCATTGTTAATGGCTCCGCCAATCACGGTCCCCACCACCACATCTCCAAGGGTCGGAGGAGGAGCCACCACCACGGGCGCCACACCAATGCCCATCCCCATGGAAGGTGCAGCGACCACCGGAGGTGGAGGGGCAATCACTGTCGTCTCGTTGATCACTGTCTTGTTTGTTGTAGTGCTGGCTGCCGCTGGTGCTCGAGGAGGAGGCTTGCTACGAGCTGCGCTGGCAGTGCCGCCGATGCGCCCACCAGACTTCGCAGCTTCAGCCTCCACTGGCAGCAGCACCAGCGCTAGAGCGGCAATCATAGAAAAGAAGGCGCCTCCGGTGCGCGCGATGCTTGTGGCATTCTGCGGTTCGGTTGTTTCAGGTAGCTCCCCATGTCCGGCTCGGAGCGCCACACTTCCGCTTCTGGGACCCTGGCTTGGGCCCACAAAGGCCAAAGCCGCCATGGAGGCCAAAGCCACAATCATCCAAGGCGAGGACCGAGCCATGGCGCCAACGCGTTGTGATCCTGAAGCCGGTCCAATGGATCTGATTTCGGAGCCAAAGTCTGAAGGTCTGAAGACCTAAAATCGGTGCTTTTGGGCAGCAAGTTCAGCTCTTTGTGCAGCCCTTTTGCGAAATCCACTGCTTCAAATGCATGAAATTGGCCTCACTTCTTTCATTCTACCAAGGGGCTCGCCATCGGCCTTGACTCTGGCCACGACTACATGGCCGTGGTCACCACGTGGCGACGTGCCACGCAAAACGCAAAGCTTCCCAGCACCTGCAATCATACAGTGCAAAAACAGCATGATTGACAAAGGGGCCAACTCCAAGAGCTTGACTGGTTCGACTGGTCCGACTGGTCCTAGACTCCTAGACCTACATCTTCCACTCGGCCAGGGTCGTGTTACGACGGACTTGCAGTTCGCAGCCATCTTCAGCCAAGGCGCCCAGAGAACTAGCATTAGAAGCAAGTGAATTTAAGGGCAAGGACTAGATTTCGAAATCATTGACATGACCTACGTCGTCTTCCAAGGCACATCTTCCAAGGTCGTCCCCTTTCAACTTTCCGTCCTCCTGGGCCACAGGCTGCTGGCATGTGAGTGTTGATGAAGGTGCTCCGAACGAATTGATTGGCCTCATGGATAAGCACCACCACACAAGACTGGCAACCATCCACACATTGAAGCCATGCAAGGCTTCTGGGCTCTCTTGGTGCTTGTGACTAACAGCGACGAACATGCGTTTGGCAGGATTCGACCGCACGGCACACTGACCTGCTAAAGAGAGAGGCCAGGCAAACAAATACTATGGCTACTATGGATCTATGGACTGATATACAAAGTTGAGCCAATGCTATACGGAGGATCTTCTCATTGGGCAATATTTTCAGAACTCTACACCCCGCTTGTCAGAAATCAGGAACCAAAACGAGCATTATCTAAATATTGGAGCACGTTTCGCCACTCGGTCCAAAGAACGGACCCCCGCGGCTCAAAGTGCTCCACGGGTGGTTGCCAGATTTGTTTCTTCTGACAACACGGATTGGTTGCTTTAGACAATTTTGGAGGAAATCTGCATCGGGATTGCCAAGCAAACACTTTGACCATTCTGCGCACATTCTTCGGAACCACGATCACTCACAATCATGGTGTCAGTCCAGCAGTATCTTCTGCAAGTCGAGCTGGCGCGCATGCAGCCAAGTTCTCCATGCTTGCTCCTTGGGACCGACCAGCTTTGGGACGGGATTCCGTCAAAAGCAGTTGAAGACCTCTGGGGCCAAGGATCATACCCAGCCGGATCCTCGATGAAGTTGGGAACCTCCTCCAAGGGCAAACGAACCTCGGCGAAACATTGAGTCCTAGATGAAACCACACCAAGGCAAGCGTTCGAGACTCGTGACGGCACAACTAGCTAGGAGTGTTTCCAAAAGTGGCCATTGTACATCACATGGTGAAGAATTGTGCAAGTCCTGTGCCAACCAGGCAAATCACTTGAGACTGGTAGACAACTATTCTAGGCTACTTCAACTTATCCGATTTATCCCAACTGAAGGGAGTGAACTTTTCCACCACGGGCGGGTGGGAACCAAACCACGGGCAGCAAACCAAACTCCGCGCCAAATACCCCCTGGCTGGTGAACCTAATCACTCAGTATCGAAAAGTCTTGTCCCGTGCTTGATCCATCTTATCTGCGCGTTCCGGACGTCCGCGGCCCAGCTACGACCGAGGCAACGGCAGCTTGTAGCGCGTTTCCCGCGCCAGCGGTGAAGATCGTCTGCTTCACCTTCGGGTCTTCACCACCCAGCCCCCCAGGTGGAGGAAGTACCACATGCGCGTGCGAGGAGACATTCGTTGAGTCCAATGTCCATGCAAGAAACAATTTTTTCATGCACCTGGTCATAATCCAGGCCATCACCCATGTCGAATGGGAGATCGTGTCAATCCGTGTTGACGTTGACAACTGCCTTTGTAATAGTGGATTGGTCGAGTACAACTGGCATTGCATCAACAATCCACATGCATTATGTGTGTGTGTCACCCTTGGAGTCATAGGGATGCTTTTGCATTTGCTTTTGTTTTACAGCAGGGGGTGCCAGGGATGCACACTGGACTGGCACCAACGAAGACGCCAGTGCTGCATCTGTGAAATCAATCCGGGACGCCGGATTGACGTAACTGCTTGGAGAGAAACCTACGTAAAGCACAAGCTGTCTACTTCGTTGTTTCCTTCAGTAAAGGGCTAATGCAGCGGTGCTTTTCCTTGAGTGCTTGGACCTTGGGAGCTCCACTGACCTCCTCGAACCGTCGTCACCCTGTCGTCCGCTCGCTCGCTGATTACCTTTGGGACCTCCGCTGGATGGACCTCCTCTTCTTCCTTAGGTTTCCCTACCTGTACTCTTAGGAAATGGAACCTTAGGCCGGCGTGTGGCACCGCTATCAAGTCCGTACGCATATCCATGAGTGTGTGCGCGTGAGCCTGCGCGCTTGTGACAATAGCTGTCAGGCCGTGATGGCTGGTTGTGGCAATCATGCCAGCATTCCATCTTCAGGATCATAAGCTGTGCGAATTGTGTGACTACAGTATTCAGTATTCAGATTTTGCTTGGACCGGGCAGTGGCGATGTCCAATGTGTCAAGTGGCAAGTGAAGAATACGGCGCAGTATGTCGATAGAGCTGATATATAGAATCGCTCACTAATTAAGCCCTCAGGCTCCTGCCGCCCAGCATGATCAATTCCGGACATGATATAGCGTTGACAACTTGTCCGGACGAACACTTTCTTGCACGACATTCATACCTGCATGCACGCAAAACTTACAAGATACCTAGTTGGGAGCACCACTTCAACATCATAACATATTTGTATACATATACAACAACTTGTGTCACCCTTGTGGATATATACTGATATGCACGATGCGACCATCAAATGTAATGGTGAACTTCACATTGCTTCCAACTTGAACCATTTTTTAAGACTTGGCAGGCCCGCGGCACCAAATAGCCGGAAAATCAGAAAGCAGCCTCAACCCTCCGATCCACACAGCGAATCAGATTGGGCAATTGAGCCGTTCCTGTCAGATTGGGCAGTGTTCATGCCACAAAATTCATACAAGGAAATGCAATGGCATTCCACGGGTCAGCTTCAAACTTCTCCTAGAGAGAACTGAAGGAAGAGACCGGGTCGTGTGTCGCCGAAATGCCCAGGAAACAGCAAACAGCTGTGATAGCTGCTTAGCTCTGAATGGAAGAAAAACTACTTTCAGAAGGCGCACACGACTACCGTACAGAAACTGGGCGGGTCCTGCCCGCTGCGAAAGCGGCACCTTTCGGTGCATGGACCGGGTCTACACCCGCGGGTGTCACAGTGGACACACTTGAAAACGACCCTGTCGGCACATCAAGAGATCAAAAGGCTTGGCTCGCTCTGGGTCTGATGGATGCTGGGCAAGACTGGGCGGTCCTTGGTGACATGATTCGCCCTGCGGGGGAACCCTGTCAATAGGAACACGTGACAGGTTGATCCCCTCTAAAGTCGCAAGCTCATTCGCATGCCTCTTGCTGTCTGCATTGGCCATTCTCTTGTGGCTTTGGTATGCTTTCGGCCCGGTGCTCTGGGCGTGATTGAGGCATCGGAGAAAAACAAGGTATATACGCAACGACCCCGAAAACAAGGCAAAAAAAGCTGATTGATGTCCCTTTGTCCCTCAGCATGCTGGCTGCCCTTCCTACATTCCTTGCCGAGACTCTGGCACGCGCCGCTTTTCGGATGATATTCGGACAGGGATACCAGCACAGGAACGCCCCACCTGTACACGGATCTTGGAGCAGTTTGAGAAGTCCTCGCATTAGCCGCATTTATTAGCCACCTGGTCTCTAGTCAACCTTCCTACTCACAAAGAGATGGAGGGTGGATTTTAAAGTTGGACGCTTACATATTACTTGCTGGTGTGAGTGTGCCAAACTATACATGCATACCATTGAGATCCATTGAGCCTATGAAGCGGGCAAAAGGTTGCATTCAACCAAGTGGTGAGGATTCGCAGCTCTCTCCACACTCTCTGCCAGCCTGCTGATCACCTCAGCTGCGAACGTCCCCAGCACTCTGAGGCCGGGTATAATGCCAAGATAGTTTGAGAATTACTTGAACACCTGCGATACGGGCATCAGGCATCTATGTCAATCTATGTTTTACGTACGCTATATCATGTAGTCTAAATGAGGCCGTGCATGGTGGTCTGAGCCGTCAAACAAGTGAACAAGTATGAGCACCTTCTGCGTTCCCGCATGACAAAGGCTTGTTGCTGGCATGCACTGGCATGGCACCCAGGTCGGTTTGTTTGCAAGGATGTTTTGGGATTGAGAAAATGGGCGCATGAAAAACGCCACACCCACAACAAACGGAGCTTCGCTATGACAACAATTCCATAAAATGTGAAAATATGGGTCCGAGACAAAGCAAAAAGGTCGAAGTCTTGGAATTCTGGAGGGGCGTTTCGGCAACTCTTCGGCAAAAGCCCGGAGACTGGTCTCGCGATGGCCGGGTTCTGAAGCTTCCCTGACCATCGCACCCACCCATGCGACCCATCCGTCCAGGCACGTGCCAAGGGCGACGGCAGCAACGAGGGCATCCGCTCGAAGCACCAGTGACGCTGAGCCCCACTCGGAAGCCCCCGAGAGGCCACATGGAAAATTCGAGGCGGGAGCTGCACCTGCCTTGGGGCGCTTCACCCGAGACCCAAAAAGAATCGAACAGTCGCATGGACAACGGGTCATGTCCCAATGCACAACGGTTGGATGGTCACCTTCCAATTCGTCACGGCTGCATGTCTAATGTCAAGAACCCGTGAAAATCATAAAAGAATCCCGTCTGATCCTCCGATTTCGCCCCGCGCCGTATTCTGCTAAAGTCAACTCAGCCTTGCTAGAAAGAACGGTCAGCTAAGGTTGGCAGCCCTGTCGGCAGGATCAGCGCATATTTAAGGGGTTTAGCGGCGTATGGCGTATGGCTGTAAAGCCACTGACCAACTCACTGCTTTCCTCGGCGACAAACAAGGCGGCGCCCAGTACACTATTGTCAATGTCAAGTTGGTAAATCCATTCTTGTCCAAGAACCGTTCGGCAGCCGACCCCATGCACGAACGAGCAAGGTACATGTAGGCCGTGCACGCATCACCGCTGCTGCCAGGCATTGGCCCTGCCTCCCTGGAAGCGCTTGGCAAAGCTCGGCCATGCACGAATTTGCGAACCTCCCGGAAAAGTGTGACTCAAATTCAGTCAAGGATTGACGCGCACTTCAAACATCAAAAATCTCAAAGCAAGTGAATCAAGAATTCCTATGAATCCCTCACGACGATCACGATCCCCCTTGATCTGGGCCAACTGGTGGCCAACATGCGCCAACGCGGCAACAAAGCAAATAAGCAACCCCTCACGGCTTGTACAATTCTGTAGCCACGGTTTCTGTCTGCTAACCTCTTCTTTTGGTGGAAGCGCATGCCTTAGCATTGCAATCAGCTGGCAGTGTCACACGGCGTATCCTATCTTGGTGCCAATTGCTGCATTCAGATTGCAGCAGTTTGTGGGCAGTTTGTGGCATTTCATACATTCATGTCGCTTGTGATTCCAATGCAGCTCAGATGCACGGGCAGCGGCGCGGGAGTTTGGTCCTTGCTTGGCCTGGGAGGCTGCGCCGGCTGAGCGGTGCCCCGGTGTGCCCAGCAGGACCACAAGGATGCGTGTCTAAAAATGGATCGCCAAGAATTTGACCCCAAGCCTTCGTTCACAGAAATTCTACAAAATGTAGGTAGGAAACGCCTGGACTGCAACTGAGCCGCGCCATGCGTTGCAACGCCTGAGCTGAGTCATTCCGACCATCTCTTGTTCTGCCTTGCCAGCCTCAGTATGGCAAAGTTGCTCTTGATCTCAACCAACTTCTGCCCGACAAGCAGAGACGCCAAATAGAATCTAGAAGGAACCACCCACGCTGGCCAAACTTTGCTGCCATGCTACGGATAAAGTTCCTCACCTGGAGCACGGCAACGACCAAATCAAGAAGATCAAGGGAGGAGAATGTCCGGGAGTCAGAAGCCTCGACGCTTGGATTCTGTTCCTGGCCTCTGCTGCTTCGCTGTGATGTCTTTGCAGCGCATCACCATGGAGCCAGGATCCAATGTCCGCATTGGTGGATGACCAGCGGGCCATGGCACGGCTTTGTTCGTTGAGTCAATCAACACGAGGACGTTTCCAGTGATGTTTCCTTTGGGGGAATCCGTCTTCAACTGGCAACATGTTACAACATGTTACCGTGGCTATGTTAAACACCGCGGGCAACCAGCACGCTGAATGCTGTGGAACATCAAGAAACCTTTCCATGCTTTCTATGCTTCGAGGCCTTCGCCTCCCCTGACCTTCTGCTTGGGCTTGCCAACATTGGTTGCACTGTTGCACCAGCTCAGTTCAGGTCAAGGAATCACGGATGATCAAAGTAAACGTTTAAGACATCTAAGCCACAGAATCTGCGAGCTAGAAACTGCCGGTTGTCGTGCTGAGTGGTTCACATTTGTAACAGCACTCCTGCAACCCAAGCTGTGCTGACCCTGTGGAACTCACTAAACTCCTGCACTCCGGACAGCTTTTATCGAAAATAGAACTCCCAGCTGCAATCTTTGGGCCTCAGCATCTACGACCAGGACCAGCCAAAGCAGAAGTTTCTCAGAGACTTAGCACATCACCACCACGTGGGGTATTAGTTTCGCACACTTAGCACATCATGCGACGTTGTGATGTGGCACAAAGGCATGCGGGTTCATTCAAACTGGCTGGGCCGTAGGAAAGGAGTTCATCAAACAGAAGACCCCATGCTCGAGATTTCTCGAGGCATGCTTGGACAACCTCCACGCCTGAAGCCTGAAGACTTGTATTGAAAAAATGTACTGACTGTATTGTACTTGACATTTAAACGTGTCTGCATGTTCTCTAATACCTTCTCTCCTGGAAGACTCCTCAGCAGGATTGCAAACAGGCGGCGGGTTTGCTGCTCCCTGCGGATCCATTGCAACCAGCTGTTGCCACGTCGCAGCGGCGCGGGACTCGTCTCCACCTCGGCAGCGCCCACGCGGCCCCCGGTGTCAGCGAGCCCGCCCGCCGCTGCCTACCCACGCACTGCCGCCCGCCCGCCTCCGGACATGAGTGCGACAGCGTTGCGCCAGTAGAGCACATTCGCAGGATCAAGTCGGACGGCCTGGGCATTCAGGACGGTCTGACTGGTTCGACGAAGCAACGGTTTTCACTGTGGACTGAGGAAGCACCTGGTCCAAGGCGTTGATGGCATGCTGGTAGTACTCTCGGGGCAATATGCCAGTGATAGCACCCAAACCAGCAGCACAAGCCATGTTGTTCATGGCCTCAATAAAGATGGGGAAGCCACAAAAATCATCAAGAATGGAAGTCCAGGTGGCGTTAAAGCCAGACCATGGGCCTCCAACTATGTTCGTCGGATTGCCCAGCTGAGACGCTTTTGTGAAGGTTGGATTGATGCTGAGTGCTTTCTGAAAGTGGGCGATCGAAGCCTGCCTGGGATGCGCGGAGAACTGCCACATGTTTGGTCTAAGCCTCTAAGCGCACCTGGACATGTGATCTATGCTTGGGTGCATCATTGCATGTCCGCCAAGCGTGGGTACGATTGAGAGACGAATACTTGCAGTGGCTAGATTTAGTATTTATGTTGGGTTGTGGCCGAAATGAGGTTGAGGTTTCACTTCGTCACTTGCAGGCTAGGCACGGCTTCTGCACAAACCAAAGGGAAAGTGCATAATCATGCCAAATCTCTTCCTCCTGTCCCAGTTGAAGGAGGTCCAAATAAACTGTACAGTTTGTGGGCAGTTCGCATGGCCACCAGAAAAAAATAAAACACGTCCATCTTTATAAGACAAACTCTCCGCAGGAGGCCCTCTCCGCAACTGATTTGACAGGCCACTTGGGCGCAGGCGCCGTGCCTGAATGGTCAAGGGACTAAAGAAGCCATTCACCGCCTGGCGACCACTGAGTCACGGTGGCAGATGGTGACGGCTATGGCTTGTGGGGCCGCAGCTACTTGGACCACCGCCGATCAAAGTCATCCAAGTAATCCAGCACAGTAAAAATTCCAAAAAACGAGAGAGACACAAAAGGAAGGTGAACATGTGCAGGGGATTGAGCTCCCAGGAGCCTCAGCTCTACATCTGAACTCTTTCATGTCCAACCGCCTGCCTTCTCCAGGTATCTGGCAGCTTCTTGGTGCTGCCCTTTGAAGAAGAGGATTTGTCCAGCATGGTACAACGGCAACGCATCGTGGTCCTTGGTGCGTCTCGGTCTCCGTTTGAAGCTTGTCAAATCTCTTAACGAATCATCAGTGCCAATTCTCACTTGCATTGTGGGCTTACGTGTGGGTCGTTGACATGGAGAAATTCTATGAAACTCTGGCTGGGCTGGCCGACGCTACAAAGAAGAAAAAGGTTTACACCCTGGAACACACCGCATCCTGGGCTGGATGGAAATGGTGAACATGAGGAAAGTCCGTTCTTACATTGCCTGACGGTGTGTGAAGCTCCTCTTCTCAATGAATTAGCAAATGCTTTCAGGATCTTTCAGGTTAATCTCTGCGTGGGTCTCTGGAGGGGATTAATGGTGGGTGACGGACCTCTGTTGAAGATACGAACCAGGCGACCGTGGGGTCAATATTGATGGAGCGCTGGTACGTATCCAAGGCCAGGTCGTACTGCTTGGCCTTGTTCTGAAGTGCAGGTGAGCTTTGCAGCCCGGTGTAATGCCAAAACTCTGACAGATTCCAGGGTTTGCTTTGCCGTTGGCTTTTCTCATCAAGACTTCGATTCAAACTTCAACATCTCCGGCATCATGCTACCCGACGTGCCACAAAGTCCCCTTGGTTGCCCCTCATTGCGGCCAATCTGGCCCATGCCTGCAGGTAGACATTGGCCAGGTTGAATTGCACCCGAGCCTTGACCAAAGCTGGGCTGGATCATTCAATAGGACCAGGCTTACTTAAGGTAGGATGCGTGCAAAATCACAGGCTGCCAACGCAATCCTGCACTTGAATAGTTCAGCAGGAGTCTGCCGACTGCAAGGCATTTGCCTTCCCGCAAAGTCCTTGCACAAAAATGTTTATCGACATTCAAACCCATTCAGTGTCTTTGAAAACAACTACACCTGAACCCACCAACATGGAAGTTAAAACCACCATTGCTCGTAGAGCTAAAATCCTCTTCCCAAACGGCAAATTGGCAAATTGTTACTTCCCTTTTGACATTTTCATGGTGATGTGTTCGGAAACATGAAAGGTTCATCCTCTCTCACCCCTTCCGCTACTCTCCGCTCTGCGAGGCTCAGAGTTCAGCTGAGTGAGGCCATCAGCTGTCGTGATGCTTTCGGAGTCCTTCCACTCCTAGTGCACACAGACGGGTTCTCGGCACTGCGGCGGCAATGGAGATGGAAAGAAGATCAAGAAGACGCGCCAAAGGCGTCAGATGTGATCAGACCTTGACAAAACCAGACCCTTTACAGTAGCATCCCTTAGGATCCTTTAGGGACTTTAGGACCTTATGAGGCTGAGGAAGTTACTCAGCACCCTGTTTCATATTGGTGCCTTTGAGCTATTCTGTGCCCTTCCCCAATTCCCTGCTCCAATCAGGGTGGGGCCTCAAAAATGGCCCCCCATCAGTGAGTGGAAGAGGTTGAAAGCACGTGACAAGTGATACAAATGGCTTTTCCAACGGTTGTGCCTAGATGCAACACCGCTCCTCAAAGACACTGTTCCTTTACAAGGGCCGTCTGTTTACTTCAAGACATCGCCATTTTGCCAGGGAAAGACGACAACGCCCTGCATCACTGCTGACCAAACGGCCGGCACTCGCACCGCACAGCGCCAGATCCCCAGAGCACCAGCGATACAAAGAAGCGCAGCACCGCTATTGCGCCGCTTCCAGGAAAAGACCAGGGAAACCACGGTGAGGAGAAGGCCTTGGGAAGCTCAACGGCCACAGCACCGATGTGTGCCACCTGTCCGCTCAACCTACGATCAGTGAAACGATCTAGAAACCTAAGAGGCTGACCTGCTGATGGGATATACAGAAGGCGTTCGCCAATCATCGTACCCACGGGAAACAAGATATTGGACCTGTGGCTCACGCACTTTGGGCTTCTCGCGACGCCGTTTGCAACAAGCCTTCACCCATGAGCGGTCTTGAGTCTTGAATGCCACCTTCAGCATGTGCAATATTACATCATGCGAAATTTGTATGCACGGTAATGCACCATGTCCCGCATGACTGTGACCCCGGTACGTAAGTCCCTCCGCTCTTGACCCTGGTATTATACATAACTTAACTTGTCGCTTGATCAAGGCACATAGGGACGAAGCTCAAGAGCAATATTGCCATTCCGACCTTAGACAGAAGGAGTGGCACGGATCCTGTGACAACTTCCATAAATTACTGTACGTCAATCCCAAAAGCTCTAGAAGCTTGTGCTTGTGCTGTGGTTGCTCTTGCCGTCCTGAAAGGTTGGAACTAACCAGTTGAACGCACAAGATTTCCACGATGGGGGCAAAAGCAGACTGAAGCAAAGAATGGCCACGATTGGAGCTTCCGACGCCTGCTTGTGAGGATGCAAGACCTTAGATGGCACAACACGGCCCTACCTCCATAGACTTCCAAATAGCAGCGCTGGATCCCCGTCTAGCTTAACCACCTGCCAAGGTACAGAGAGGGAAAGGGCGAGTAGCATGAAGAAGCCCTGGTAGGCGACCAAAGGTAACAAGAGCCGACAATCCGAGGCATCCAGGACCAGTGGAATCGCATCGAAGGAATAGTCGTAGCCTGACAAAAGAAATCGGAACGTTCCACAGCAGTTCACTGATGGGAAACCTGAGTCTTTCGCAACTTACGCCGAGCTGCTCAGGAAGTTCGGAAACACCAGCAACTTCATATAAATCCCATGCAGGAGCGCATAGCTCCGCAAACGTACCCCGCGGTCAACATGGACCGCCTTAGCTGTTTCACCCAGCAGGTACTCTATTCCGTATTCCCCTACTATTTCGTTCAAGTCAGAGACATGCTTTCAATTGTCAGAAATCTGAAATGCTGCCGTTGGAAGAACACTCTTGTTGTCACTCAGTGACTGATGATTGCACAAAAGGAAAAGTAATTAGTTGTATTATATGTTATATGTACATCGCTATGAGAATATATATATATATACATAATTACAGTATATGCATATACACACAGAGAGAGATAGAGAGGGAGGGAGAGAGAGAAAGAGAGAGAGAGAGAGAGAGAAAAAAAAAACGAATAAGATGTTCCGGAAAAGGTGATCCCACACAACCATCTGGTGAAACGCAACCAAGCAACAATGGGATTGCCTTGGCTGGCATCCGAACTAAAATGCAAAATCCAGATGCTTTATGAAGCGTTAGTGTTTTGAGCCTTCTAAACAAGGTTTTAGCTTAGGGGAAGTACTTCGTCCAAAAGGAAAGAAGCTGACAAAAGGTCACGTGAAATAAACACATAGTCACATAGCCTTGTGGGTTGTGGCTCGAACCTTCATGCCTGCAGTGCAGACCTGAACGTTGCCTACGGGGCTGTATTTTTGGATTCTACATGAGCATGGTCAACTTCTGACCGCAGGTCATGGGCCCAACGGGTGATCCAAGCGGCTATGGGGGTCCATATTCTCAATGGCCGTGCCGGTGTACCACACTCGGAGACCACAAGCTAGGCTGCCCAAAAGCAGCATGGCGAGGATGCGGAGGACACGCCCCCGGCGCCAGGAGGTCAACAGCCCTTCCGGGCGGAGTGGGTGGAGGTGTCGAAATGACAAGCCGCCCGGATATCTTCAATTGGGCAAGACATGACAAACCATGCGGTTCTGAGACCTACCACGGTAAAAGGATGTAAAAGGTTTAAAAAAAAGCTCAAAAGGTCCCAGAGAGGCCTCCAAGAATCTCCCAGCCCGCCAGCAACCCAAAGAAGCAAAATCCTGGTCGCCGTGTTGGATGCAAAAAGGGAGAAGTCAAGGAGTGGCTGTTGCAGGCATGACCTAGCTATAGCAGCTAGTCCTCTACCCTCAAAAAGTATCAAAAAATCTTGGGCGTCGGCGAGGCCTCTTCAAGGTGACTATCCCATCACATGAACACATCTCCTGTCTCTTTGCACAGGCCCGCAGCCACCATCAATACTGCAGAGAGCGGTAGCAGCAAAAAGCCTGGCTGCAGCTCCTTCACAAAGAACGAGTTCATTGATTGCTGGTTAAGCTGACAGAATAGGGTCTTTCTCAGCTTGGCCGAATAGATGTACAACCTATATATATATATATACAACTCTAATTTTAAAAAATGTGAGGCTTCTATATAACTCTTCATCTTGGCACCCAAACACTGCAACCTGGGTGGGATGATGTGCCCTCATCTCCAACCGATGTAGCTTAAAATCCTGCTGCAGTCTGGCCCACTTTCTTTGAACAAGACCAGGTTTTACAAAGTCTGCCGAGGCCCACCAGACATATTGAAAACAGCTATGAAGACATTCCAGCCGGAACAAACCTGCCTTGACACACGGTGTGTACAGCAGCGCTGCCACAAGAATCAGAAGGAGGCAAAGGAGGTCAGCGCGCCCAACAATGTAGAGCACCTGTATGCTGAAACTGGATTTGAAATCGGCGATCGGCTTATCTTGTGCCAGCTCACGGTGGGTCTAAGATCTTGCAACCAAGGCGCACTCTCTGTATGAACGGGGTGCGCTAAGAACAAAGCCCCAAGCAGCAGCGCAAAGTCTGCAGGAAGACCCAGGGCGAAGCCAAGAACACCCATCAGAACTGAACAAACCTCCAAAAGCGGCACCAGAAGTTGAAGTGGCTAAAGCACATTGTCCCTCGACTGTCCTTATGCACGACCCTACGTAAGCCTTTTCCGCAAACAATGTGTGCAGCAGTACTTCCACCCAATGGGTGTTGTTAACATGACATACAGTATACTAAGTAATTATACTGCATGGGTCGGCAAATGCACCGTGAAGGCTTTGTGACTTCTTGCTTGCCAAGGTTCCCAATTCAATAGGACGTTGACGACGTGGAAACCAGAGCCTCTCGCGGAAAGCCCCAGACCGGCGACCGACGTGGGCGCATGTCCAGGTCTCGAAACAAAAGGACCATGGCCGCCACTGGCCACCTGCTAACGTGGGGGTCTCGGACGTAAAAGGGCAGCACGCAAGTTGTGAGCTGTAGAGGCGCCAGGAAATGGCTCACACAACAGGTGATACGGTGGCTCCGTCAGCCTTCGAGCTCAGTTCTGTGTGAACCCTGTAACGATGTAACCACTGCAGGGCAGGTGTGGGGACCCCGTTTGGTTCTAGGAATTTGGTGCCGGATGTTGTGAGCTCTTTCTCCAAGCTCCTCCGCATTGCGATGTGTTTAACTACCGTTTCAATACAACCATAACATGACAACATATCACTCGGGCTCCTTCTGTTCGCAGGTACCCAACTGTCCTTCAAAGCCAGCCAACGCATGATTCCAACGAAAGCTGAGCACCGTCAATGGCCGGAAGGATTTATGCGTCCACTCGCCCTGGCAGGCACAAAACGCAAAGCTCGTGCCAGGGGCCCTGCCAACAACTGCTCAAGACCATCTCACCGTACACCTCACAATGCTCACACCACAAGCTCGAAACCGGCAAAGCTATATACCACATGCTGTCCAACAAATGCCCAGAGTCTGCATGTCATTGTATATCAATCCCAGCATCTTTGATTGGTTCCCACCAGGACATGCCATCTACTCCCTAAGAAAAGACCTCGTGTCCCATCATGCGGTGGAACTGCGGAAGGAGCCGCAGTTCCAAACGCCGCCGGCACGCCTGAAACATGTCCAGGCCCCAGTAGTCAGTCCTGAAGAGCCGGAGCCAGTTCAATTCCTCATAGACATTGGGGTTCTTCCTCAGCGACAAAAACGAACGGCTGAAAGGATAATACACCAAATATAAATACGCGGATGATTTGCCGAAAACGGAGTTGTTTCTACAATAATGGATGGCTGATAAGATCTGCTGAGGACCACAACCATCTCCATTCCAATAGCTTCAGCCACATTGGGTTCTTAGCTTTCCCTGGTGCCATCTAAGGCTGAGAAAGGCAAAGATTCTTGATCATAGCATCATCCATGAAGAAGCCTTGGAAGGAGTGGACATGCAAGGACTGCCGTGGCGACTCTACGCAGAAATGCTGCCCGAGAACTCTTTACCACAAGCCCTGCAAGTCTCTCTGTCTCCCTCTCTCTCTCTCTCTCTAACTAGCGGAAACACTCGTGTCCGGGCGATCACTCGGAGATCTGCTTTTGTTGGACGATGTTTGTTCAACTCCCATAAGCAACTGTGAAACGAAACCCAGGAGATGGAAACATCTTCGACTGCGCATGGGCCCTTTCTCTGGTGGGCTTGTGACGCACTTGATCCTGATGTTAAAGGGCAAAAAATCGGGAATCCACATCTGAGACTCACCCCTTACCAAGCCTTCCAAGAGTGTCAAAACCACATCCTCTCCCCTTCGAGCCCTTCGGCTCGTCCAGGCCTCCATTGAAGTTGTAGCTCAAGGCGGGTATCCAGGTGATCAAGGCACCCAACGCTAGCAGGACAGCAACAGCAGCCCGAGGCCATGAAACAGAGACCTGCTCGCTTTTCAAATCAGGTGGTACAAGCCACTAGCCACACTATGTTGATCCTTCTGGATCCCCCATGCCGAACCTTCTACCGATTCTCTTGTTCATAAGTTGGAGGTTAAAGCGCAGCCATGGTGTCTTCAGAACTGAGGATGGGGGACCTGCGTTCAATGTATTCAACTCCTTCTATTGCTCCCCGGGCCTTCGCAGCAAGTCTTCTTTCACGGGACAGCTCAAGCAGTTGCTGTGCAATGCAGCGGAGGCCTCATGGAGTGCTGAGAAACTACAGCGCCGTGCGCATTGGAATGTAACAAATATCGGGGGCCAACTGCATGATACAGTGGAGAAAGATCTGCCCCACAGAAAGAGAATCATGTGCACTGTGATCATCAATGATTTCAGTACAGGTTGGACTGTGCTCTAACTCAGCACACTGAGATAAGTTAGATAAGTAGTCTGCCCCAAAAACTGCCAGACCCCACACCGGGAGGCGACCTGCCAGGTCGACCTCTGGAGCAGCATCTTCTAGCAGCTGTCCGGGCACCTGCAGAGGAAGGCGCAGGAAGAAACGTGCGGTGAGGGGAGCAGGTCTCATCTGCGAGGCTTCGGTTTTGGTTGGAAAACACCAGCGTTCAAATGGTTCAGCATTCGCACTTCATAGCTTCCACAAAGCCGGGCACGCTTGTGGTAAATCCTGAGGGTGTTGATGCTGCGGATTTCTGTGCGGACATCCCTTCAGGCCTTCTGGATGGCGGCAATATGGGAACCTACATAGATGCGGTACAGTAACAATCACATCAACTCCGAAGCGTGAGCATGTCTCAAAACTCAGAACAATCTACATCAAAAATCATGACCTCCAGCTATGTCCCTCAGGAGTGACAGGGATAGAACATCAAACATGTTGGGAAGAACCTCAGGCTTTTGCTGAGTTTTCCGTTGAGTCGTCATATCCTACTGTATGCTCAGAGTCTGGCTTAACTCCTCAAGCGTGGCGGCATGTGGCATAACGCGGGAAGTAAGTCTGTGTGTGTGTGTGTTGTGGCCTTAGCTGTGTTTGTGCCTGCATGTCACATGCGTTGATAGGGTGTAACCCAGAACCATGTGAGTGGAACTCAGTCTCTATGTGGGATACCTATCTACGCAATTTCGATCAACGTGCTTTGACACTTGCCGAGTGATGTAAGGTTTTGCTGGGTGATGTCCAGGTGTGCTGAGGGAAACTAAGCACATTTGCAGCGCTTGTGGTGAGAGCCACATCTACGAAATGGTCACACATTCTCCGCCTGCTTGGCTGGAGGGAACTCAAAGGCAATGACAAGGATAAATCTTTATGGATTCTCAAGCCATCTGAAGCCAAGGCTGCTCCAAACCCCTGGCCAATTGTTAGTGTCTTTATGCCTCGGAGCCAGTGAGGTCCCAGGTGTTTGCCGAGTTCCATTTCTGCTCCATGTCGATCATTGCTAAGAAAGAACCTCGTACGATGGATCCTGGCTACAGAACGTTGCGCCACTTCAACGACTATAGTTTACGAAGTAAGCGCATGAGTTAAATATTCAAGTTGGTTTGGCCTAGAATTATGTCTTCTTTGCAGCCTGGTGGGGCACACTTTTGCCTTCGCGTTCTACACTCAGCTCCAATGGCCAGGTTTGGCTTGGGCGGGCCATAAGATCATGTCATCATCGACAAGGAAACGTGCATTTGCCTTGGATTGAGCCAGTGGTGGATCCTTCGGCAAAGTGCCCACCAAGGTAGAAAACTAAGGACACCAATGCAATGTGACAGTTCTGCAAACACAAGGACAGCAATGGCTCAAACAGTTCCACAAGAGTGAAGGAGTGAACCTGAGTGAAGCAGTGAACCTTCAGCCCGGTGCGCGAAAAGCGAGACTGAAGGCCTCTACATACCGAATATGATGCACTAAGCTGCCTGATGGTGAGGCGCTAGCTCCAGGCTTACTTTTCCAGCTGCGACCATCCAAACCTTAGTCCATGGCGAATAGTGCTTGTCATAGGAGCTCTCCTCGGGCGTGCCTCAGGCAAGAGCAAAAAAAAATGAATAAAGTTGGGTGAGCAACCTGGCATCGTTTTCGGCCCGTTGGATCATTGGGCTTGGGCCCGTTGCGCCCACTGTGTTTTCTTCAGATCCCAGACGTCCAAGCTGCTCTCGCCATTGATGATTGGCCAGTTATTCTTCACCTTACTGGATCACATTGGAAGCTAAACGAACAGCTGCCTTTGCTTCCAAACATGAGTATTCGTCTGAAGTGACAGGAACTACCTGTGGCATTTCATTGTTGCTTACAGTATAAAGTACACTGGTGGATTAGAATGATGGGCCATGTCAGCCAATCAGGATGCCTCAAAATACGTCCAAGTGGCACACTGCCCAAGCGGTGCTAGCTCCCTTGCCCGGGCCCAAAGCCTTTCGCTCAGCGCAGTGTGTCCACCCGTCTTCGCTGCCACAGCAGCTTCACACATCAGAAGACCAACTCCTGCCGACTGGACTTGCATGCTGAAGAAGTTGTAAGCAAGACTGTTGGGCTGTTTTAGTTGTGGGTCAACTGATCTTTCTCTTAGCCACAACCTCAACCGATATCTGGCTTTTGCTTGAAATGTGGGGATCTCTTCTGTCCTGGCCCCGTCATCTCCAGGATGGATTTTTCCTCACTAGAAGCGCTCGCTCTCGACCGCCGCTCCACCAGAGAGGCCGAGAAGGTCGGATGCTGCAAGGCCAGGTCGTGGAACAAAATGACCTGAGGGAGCTGCGACTGGAAGTGCCGCTTAAGTATAAGTGTCCCTGTTGGGTTGGCAAAACAGGATCTAAATGCGACTATTGGTTGTAATGACCGCCCACCCTCGGAATTGCCATCATTGCAATTGTAGGAGAAACTTGGAGAATCGCATGACTGGGATCTACAGTATCTGGCTCCAGCTGACACACCTCCAAAATCAAGCCTCCATTTCGGCCAGGCTTGTCCACCAATGGCACCGCCCGCCTCTGTCAGGACCTTGGGGTTGTTGGGCAAAAGCTTCAAGGCCGTGTCATAGAAGCGCTTTGCCTCTTGTGGCCTGGGGCCCAAGGGCACTTCAAGCACGCTTGATAAGGCAACCTTCGGCAACATGTTTGTAGCGCTTCAGTACAGAAAACCCAACAACAAAATCACCCATTGCTGTTCTTCAAGCGTTAGTGGAGGCCACGATTTTGCACCCACACTCGGTTTGACCGGATCGGTGCCGGTGCCTATCTGCATCAACATCCAGGAAGCGAGCCTCAGGTGGCTTCAGCCCAGCATATGAATTGTCAAGAAGCGCTCTGCCGAGCATGAGATTGGACAGTCTCCCTGCACAACCGCATTTGGAAAAAAGGAGGGCTAGGACTAGGATTCGGCACGTGATGTTTGTGTTCTTCCAACGATGCGCTCTGATAGTGATTCAAATGATCCGCAAACAAATGCCTGCGCCGTGCGCCTTGCCCCTCGCCGCACGGGCATGCGCAACGACATGTAGACTGATCGTGAAGCTATATAAACAGGCCAAATCAAGTGCAAAAATAAACACACATAAAGGCTGCTAGAGGTGCAGGGCCTTTCATTGATACATGCCAATTGAGAGATTCTGTGGCTTCTTTTCAATGGATGTTCTCCTAGGGGCTCTCGCTACTCAACCAAATACGTCCTGCTCGCTCTTGAGACTTCTTGGACACTCACTCTTTCATGCCTTGGTGCGGTGGCGTAAATTCACCAAGCAACTTGGTAGTAATTCACCCACCCGTCGTTGGGGAAGAGTTCCAATGCCCACTTTCTCAGGGCTGCCGCTGCCTTGGCCTTCCTCGGGCCAGGTCGGCAGTTCTGGATCACAATTCAATGCAAACAACCTGTTTGGCCGCTTTCAGTACCAAAAGACCCAAACAGCATGCCAGGCATTGCCAAAACATGTGCACAAAAGGTCAGCTCAGTCTCTTGAGGCCATGATGAAAATGAGCTGCTGCTTCCATGACTCGAGCGCCACACTTCGCCCCTTGCCTCCTGGCGGTTCAGCCCTTCAGCCGTGGGGTGGGTTACCAATGGTTACAAAGACATCCAAATCATTGGCATTGCTTGAGTTGACCTATTTGCTGGAATCCCGGCAGGCAGCTACTGGGTCACTAGATCCGCAACAAGGACAGTGGAAAAGGAGCTGCCACAGAAATTGTAAATCGTTTGCAACAACGGCACTCAAAGCACCCCCAGTGCACTTGCACTCTCCACCATGACTGGCAAAAGAGGATGATCGATCAATTACCAGTTCCCGAAAACTGCCCAGCCCCCAACAGCAAGTGCAATCAACTGTCCCACTCGAAGGGACTTGCACCTATCAAGGGGTGCCCATAGCACCCAGCTGGCCTCTCACAGCGTCTCATGTAGTCCTTCCAGTTGCTCTCTTCGTCCAGCCATGCTCGGATCTCCTTAACTGCCAACTTCAGACAACAAAGACCCGGTACAAACCCATTTCAGCTGGCGCTTGCACAGTTCAGACGCCACAAAAGTATCACCAAGTCAGAAAGTCGGCTTTATAGAGAAAAGTGCCAAGTTCAGGCTCAAATCATGTATAACATATATAGTAGATTTAGGGGATTGCACTCATCCTCACAACTCCTGGTGCGCGGGTCTTGTCTCTTTTGACAAACATCCGCCCATGACATGGCAAGTCTCTGGTGCTCTGGGTGCAGAGCCCTCCAGCGGTCGTTTGCGCAGAGCAAAGACCGCGTAGTTGCCTCCAGCCGAATGGAGAAAGCCCCGCTTCGCGAGCGGACGTGTTCGGCCGACCGAGCTTCAAGACCCATGTGTGGCCTTGACCACGCTCATCCAGTGCAATGGGGTTGGACTTACCCCAGGCCAATCCACAAAGCCACTGCCACAACTATTTTAATGCTGCTAAGTCTCCATTCATGAAGACCAGCTCGAAAAAACGCGATCGTGCATGGAGCTTCATGCACCTGAAAAGCTCAAAGCATGACATGGCAAACATGCGTCCGGCAGACATGGACCAGCTTTTGAAACGGATCGTTAGGAAAGTCCGAGGTGCATCAAATCTTCCGTCTGGTGCTTCTTGGCGTTGCAGTTCTTTCTCTTGTCGTCCAATTTATATGGTGTGAAGAAGCAGCGCGAATATTCGAAGATAACTAGCTGGGCCTGGCACAGAAAACGGCTACTGCTGGTAGGCTGCAAATGCACATTGGAATAGCCTGCATTGTGGCAGAATGCTACGAAGGCGGTTTATCCTCCCTTCATGATTCTTTGGCTTCCCGGCCGCGGGACCAAGATACTAATGAAAAGTGCGCCATGTGGCCTCTTCCCCTGAAAAAGCATGAAAAATATCTATATAATGGCTAGTGGGAAAAAAAGGTTGAGACCGCAGCTTGGTCTTTCGCTACTTCCCACCTCAACAACCAGCCCTTCCTTCACGACCCTTTCCAGGCATGGCTAGCCTGCAGCTCTTTCATGGTTTTGGCGAAGGATTCTTCCTGGGATGAACGCCCAGCGTGAGAAGGCCGGAACACAGGTAGGGCAGACATACCCCCTGAAGCACCTGCAAGACCCCAAAATGTGGTGGCTTGAAATCGCCCACTGGCCCACGTCCCAGGAAGCAACAAGTTACCAAATGTACATCCACTATCCCCTCCTATCCCCTCTGCCCCTTGGGTGTTCAAGCATCAGAGCCGCAGTTGTAAAGCTCGTAGGCTCGCTGAACTCGCTTTCGCAGATTCTCCGACTCGAACCTAGAAGATTTCAACATCGGTGTGAGGCCATGGGATGATGTGGGTATGCTATATGTCGTATCTGGCACTTTCTGCACGGAAGCCAGGAAAGCCTTCCAGAAACACAGCTGTTGGACCCTCAGCTTAGGGGTTCAGAAGGTTGAAAAACTGTTCCGGTAGAAAGACCCCAAGAAAAGAGACCTAAATCAAGCAAGCAACTGCGGGTGAATGATCATTGGAACATTGGTGAATGCCCTCATGCTTCCGGCCAGATTCATAGAGGCCAGCACCGGGGTGTTGTGATACCTCTCGCGGTTGAACCAGTCGTACAAGTCTACCAAGTCCCCATCATTGGAAAGCTTGTCGGCCATGTGCTGGCAAACGCCTTCGTCCGAGCTAATGCACGGGAGCATCTGAGTTAGCCAGAAGACGTGGCCAACAAAGCCGGATAAAAGAATCGCCAGCAAAGCTCTGGGGCACCACCTTCTTAAAAAGAGCGGGAAGAGTTTCGGACCCCACACGGCAGCAGCCAGAACCATCATCGGTGGGCCGAAGGCCACGCGCAGGCGGTTCACCAAACAACCCAAGAGTAGAAAAAGCAAAGACTGCACAACAAAGAAAAGAAGGGCCGCATCTTCCCCTTCTTCTCCATATATCTTAACGTCTTCCACCGTTTGTGTGGATCCGCTCTCTGCTTTGACCTCCCCTGGCTTGCGCTGCCGAAGTGCACTTCCAGCTCCTTGCTCTGATTTGGACTGTGCGGCAGTCTTCTGGATCGAGACCTTTGGATCAGCTGGGCGAAGGCTGTTATACACAGCGCGGGTAAACACCAGGAGACAGGTAAAGGCTGCTGCCGGCGCGGCAGTTGATTCAAGGTAGACCTTGGCAGAAGACCACTCCAACAACTTGAAGACGCCCATGATGAGATAAAGATTTGCATTGAAACTGGGTTCTGCACAAGATGGCAGTTTGTTTGCAGGGAGATGCCAGCTAGCCGGTAGCACATCGTTGATGGCAGCCGCTTTGGTGCACAAGATCTCATAAACATGTGTGTCGGCTGTGGCAAAAGGCGCTAAGGCTTTCTGAACCAAAACGAAGACAATCACTGCAACCAGGCCTTCCATGACGTGTGAGAACCTGCGGCGCACCCAGGAAATCCACGAGAAGTGTCGCGAGTGCCGGTGACAGAAGCAAAGAGATGTAGCTGTCTTCAAGGCAACAAGCTGAAAGAAGAAAGGCGAGGTCAACAAATACGGACTTCCAAAGTGAACGATCACGGCCAAACCCATCGAGATACAGTATGCATTCAGAATCTCCAAGACCACCGGCCGAATGCTGTCAAAGCCAGCCACTATATTTACAGCGTACAGCGATGTCGCTTGCAAGAGGAGCAGGAAGGGACTGAATTGCCAGGATACAATAAAAGCAAACGTTGTCGCGATCAGAGTCAGCTTAATCAACAGTCTTCTTGACTGTGGTGCCAGGAGCAACCGCCAAATCAAATACGTTTGGATCCAAAGCAATGGGATGCCCCAAAGCTCCCGCAAGTCAGAGCTCGTAAAGTTTCCCAATCGACTCGTCTGAAAGCGATTCCTGACGTCATGTGGCAAGGTCCGTTACACCAAAACCGCACTTCGCAACAGATGGACGGACCAGACCTGTTTCCGACCCGTGCTAGCATCTGACTGAATGAAGAGCTTTGAAACAACAACTCATCCAAACGTCAAACCTTACATCTCAACCTCGGCATGTTTCATGACCCTGGCTGAAACGAGAAAACGTCACTCAAAAGAGCAAGGTGCAGAAAAGAAATCAGGAAGCACAAGAAGCTTGCAAAGGGATTTCCAGAGATTTCAATCGCCAGGAGGCATAGAAATGCCTGTTGGCAAGGACATTTTTGGACACACACTCCAACACAGAAACTCTTTGAAGCTACTTCTGGGACCGACCAATCTCTATGTGTTGCCCGTTCTGTTTGCTTTGTGCTCAGTCAGCCACCGATGGCTCCCAGCGCCTGGCCGATTCCGTTCAAGACAACCACATGCCATCGGAAGAAATGAAAAGGATCCGGCAAAAGGAATCCAATGCTTCTCAGACATCGATATTCAAAGGCTAGCAGGATCTCCTCAGGGCCAGATTTCAGGACCTTTCTGGACCTCCACATGTTATCAAGGAAACAGGCCAACACCTGCTTCAGAAACAAAGGAAGTGCTCAAGGAAAAGTGCTTGGCAATTCTAAGCAAAATGGCTGTATCTGCACGATATCTACGATGACAATGACCAAATCTCGCAATAGCATTATGTCGGCAGGCTGCCACCCAGGACCAGGGCGCTGGTTTTCAACCTGAGCTTATCCCTGTTCGTTTGCCATCACTAAGTATAATGTTTTGTGTGTGTGTGCGCTTAAACTCAGCGGGTTGTCTTGTTTGACTTCATGCTACGGATCGCGCAGCGGCACAAGAGGACACATCGCCTTTACAGGGCCGCTTCCCTAAGCGACCAGTCCGTCCTGATAGATGTTGAATCTGCGGATCGCATTCAGGATGTCGGGGCATTCAGTTCTCCCATCCCAAATGATCTTGCGCAGGCCATCACCCAGGAATTCTACGTCCACTAACTCCTGGAAGTAGGAATAGTAAAAGGCATTCCTTGCTTAAAAGGCAAAACAGGACCTCTGTTGCAAAGGCACTAGGTTCGCACTGGAACAAGAATTCCATGCCTTGCAGCAATGAAAGTGATGCCACAACATGTGCCAAGGTACCACCAAGTCTTAATGGGCCTCCTATTCTGGCAAGGACTACCTTTATCCCTGTTGCCGCTACTCCTCCCCACAACTATAAACTTCTAAGAAAAACTCACGTACCGTGGCTCTCTGTCTGCAATGCGGCAGCTGCACTCAAACCAGTTGGAAGGCTATGAAGAAGTCTCAGGTACGCCAAGTTCTCATAAACATAGAGCACTCCTTACATTGGACAAATCGAATTCTGCCCTGCAGGCCTTTGACTGCATTCCGGCAGCCCGGCAGCCCCAATTCTCCTATGTACTAAAAACTGTACATCCAATCAGTCCCAAAATGGATCAAAATGGCACATGGATCAAGAAACATGTGACATGAAAACCAGCACGCCAGCACGCCCAAGGGCAACCTCCAAGGATCCCATGAGTGCCGCTGTTCCGATGGACGTCACCATGGCTAAACGCTCCATGGTGTGCTTGTCCTCTGTGCTAAGTCGCTTCCGAAGGAATCCAGTGAGAAGCTTCCCAGCGGAAGCAATGACAAAAATGACTAAGCCCTGGGGCCCTAGCTGTGCCTTCAGTTTGATGCCGTGCATTTTACTGCTCACAAATCTTGTTGCGCTTGGGCTGTCTTGGGCTGGTGTAAGGCTGGTCTTGAGCTGGGTGGTGGAGGTTCCTAGCCACCACTACTTGCCCGAACGGCCATGCGGCATGAACCTACCAATTGGAATGAGTTGGGTCCATTGTAGTGGTGTTGATGGAGCTGATCTACATTTCTGATCGTTCTGTCTCATTCAGATTGAATCATCTTCGACTGATACATTGATAGCCTTCTTTGAGGCCTAGGGCTGCGATGCCTGGCGCTTGGAAAGGACTGTCAAGCGAGTCAAGCACCTGCCTCGGGCCTCTTGGCCGCCACCTCAAGCGCGCACTCAATGGGCCGATGATCTTTTCCATCGATGGGTGCTGTACCTGAGTTTCCTGGCTTGTGTCTCTGCTCAATTTAGAACGCCCAAAGTGAGCTTCGAGCCCGCCTTGGAAACATAGTTGTGCTGCGGCCCCCCACGCCGCTTGTGTGGGGATTCGGTACTTGCCAGCTCAACCTCTTGACAATCAAAAGTTGGAGCAAAGGGCAGAGGGGCGTGGAGATGCAGCCAGTGCAGCCCCAACAATAGCGTAAAATATCGTAAAATGAATCTGCAGATTGTTGCGGCTACAGGGTGCCGCTCTATTCAGCAGTTTCCTGGGGGGTTCATCTTTATTTGCCTGCGTCCAAACGCCCCTCCGTGTTCCCGGGCCTCGGTTTTCTGAAAGCCCTCGAAGTATGCACAAAAAAAAGAAACCCCACGCACCGAACAGGCACCCAAAGTGAATGTTGACTTGAACAAGGCACCTGATTTCAATTGCAATGGTTTTCACTGCAAGCATCACCCAGCATTAGAATACGGTGCACCAAAACGATGGGGCTTCCTAGGTCCTAGGCTGTAACACGCCGGCGTTCCCTCCTGACTTTCTCAGCACGCCACCGCGCAAAATCTTCCGACAATTCCTCGGCACTTGGCAGGTCGCGCCAACGGTGCTCCAGGCAAAGTCGAAGCAAGCAAATGCATCATGATAACAAGTCCTCCTGTGGATGTGACTGAAGTGTTTATATGTGTTTATGCCTACCCTCAACAGACACCTCATGCGCAGCCACCACCCCATGGTCGAACTGGGAATAGGGTGGCAGCAACAACGTGTATGTCAAAGCTCTGGCGTTCGATGCACGACGTTTCTGGGATCTCCGGCTTGTTCGAGCTTCCGGGATGCGTAGGCACAGGTCTGCCGGCAAGCTTCGCGAGCGGCGCCACGGAGCACCTGGACACAAATACTTCGCAGCGCAGGGTGTGTCACAAAAGGGGTCGGCAATGAGTTGGAGTTTTAGAATGATCTGACAAATCACTCTATCACTTCTCGGGAGTCTAAGAGGCTGGGAATTGCCCCCCCTTTTCGCACCTCCTCTGGCAAGGTGATGCCAGCAAGGCTCGGCACCTCCCCCTGGACTTCGATGGCCACCCAGCCCGTGGCGGAAGACCTGAAGATCACGGACTGGTTCTTCGGGCTTCCCGAACCCGTTCTTAAGCGCTGCTTATTTGGGCAAACGGGTTACATCACGTTATATACATCAAGGACACTCAGAGAGGAGACCTCGCGATGGAATGGGACCGACTGACTGAACTTGGAGGCACCCGATTTTGGACTCACTATTGGCATGAATTTGGTCGCTTGCCGGTGTCCCGTTCTACCGGTGGGCCCAACCGCTTCAAGTCTCCGACTCTCCGCCTTTACAATCTGCTGGTGTCCCGGTCCGAGCCCCCTGGCCTCTTCTCTGAGAAACCATCTTTCATGATCCGCAACTCACCCGTGACATTCAAGGAGAAGACCGGGAGTGCGAGATCCTGGAGGACAAGCAGGGTAGTGAAATGTGACATGTGATTACGTCAATTCTGCCCAGATTATTCCGATACAATTGGGACTAACGATGAGCCGGAGGTCGCACTCGCTTGGTTTCCAAAGCCTCAGTCCCTGACCATGCCAGTAGCGAAGCGGATATTCGCCTGGGGGTTCCCAAAAGTGCCAATCTCCAAATACCTGATGCACTCCGCGCTGGAGGTGCCCAAGTGTTTCCACAAAGAACACGAGTGGCCACACGCTCAGCGAGCAGGAATCTAGGAATCTAGGAATCTGTACCCCAAGTGTATCACATAGCACTATGAGTCTACGAGTTCTGAAAAAGAATGCGCCCTCTTGCATGGCGCTCCGCTCGTGACAGCCATCTCGCCGAGTGGCTTGTCCTCGGCACCGCGAATGGCGCCGAAGAGGTTGATCGATGAGGTGGCCCGCCCAAGCCTCAGGAAGAGAAGGACGACATCTGGCATATGGCATGCGGCAGCTCAATTCCATGTGTCCACCTAGGACAGCTGTCTCTCTTAGCAGGTCTCTTCCCCGCATATCATCGCCATCACCATTCAGTAGATAGTCATCACAAGAAACAGTAGTGTTCCAAGCTATCTCTCGGAGAGCATGGTATTGTTGTGCATCTAGACCGTTCTCTCGGAAGGTCTGGCACTCTCCCCCTATTGCGTGGCCTATGCTAAAGCAAAGCAGCCCCATCAAGTCCAGTGCCGGCAAAGAAAACTTGTAGACTTGCATGGGTGAATTGGGTTCTTCCAGCTCCTGAAGCAAAGGCTCTGTGCGCACACATGCCACTTGACATGGGCCTTTCAAATCAAACACCCCAGTGGCTGCTTTGGACACGATGATTCGATGCAAGAGCATGGATCAATTCATATTGAATGTTCTCCCTTGTTTGACAGCCATTTTTGGATACCTTGGCACGCTCGATCTTGGAGAACGCAGGTTTTCCAGCTTGGACCAGGCGATCTACGCTGTTGTCCTGAAACCATTGCAGCAAAGAGAGGGCAGGCTCAGGAATCAGTTTACATGCATCCTGGTACGACAAACGTTGTATATACTTGTAGCATTCACCGTGTATCTGAGACTGAAGGTTTCCGTTGCAGACCCATCAACATAGTTAGACAAAGTTGTAGAAACCAGCATGTGCGCAAGCAATTCATGTATATACATGTGTCATCTTGTGCCAAGGGTCACCTGGCTCATCACCGTAGAGCCAAGAAGCTGCCAGGTCCGGCGCCCCTGCTAAGGCCACTTGGAACGGTGTCTTGGCACCAAACTTGGCCTTGCTGCCTTGGCTCAAGCAAAGCCGAGGTTGACTACTTCCCCACCCCAAACAAAGGATGCAGGATGCTGCCACCGCCTTCGCAAGGAACAGGCATACAATACAACATATACAACTACAAGACCCAACAAAAGAAATGCATCGAGCAATGTGCAGCCGTGGTTCCCTTGATGTCTATCCATTCTTCACTCAGCCCATCCTGCTGCCGTGCTTGCAGGGCCACAATTGTTTGTCCTGAGCAGCCACCTAGCCAATCTTGTTGTTCAAAACGCAAGCCGGACCCACTGGTACCGAAACAATTGCACCTTGTTCTACTGGTCATCAAAGATCATGTGATGCCACAACTGTGTAATGCGACAGCAACGTCAACACAGGCGCGGGAAAAGCCCAGCTTGTTTAGTCGAAGTGCGGCCAGCGGAACTCGAGCTTCGGGGCCTCAGAGCGTGATGGAACGGGGGCGGGCCACGGCCAACCTTTTGAAGCATTAAAGAATCTAATTAGTTTCAGGTCCTCGGAGCACCAGTGAACATATATATATATCTTGTTTCTACTAGCTTCTTGCTACTACTAGTAAGGCACTTGTTACTAGTAGCGATGCACTTGTTCCTAGTAGCTTATATACAAGCATAGATGACATGATGACATGCCCCACTATTTCCTCTCCGATGAAACCACTTGGCTGCTAAACCACCCTCCCGAAATGCCTGCTGGCACCTCCAAGCAGCACGTCCATGTTAGCTTAGGGTTAACAGTTCACACCAAGAGAACCCAATGGATGCCGAGCAACCGGGGCCCGCAGACCAGAAAGGCCCAGAAACCGCAGTTTGCAACAAAGGCAGCAGCAATCAGAGTCAAAACTGGCGCGCGGCTGCGCGGCATCATGGCACTAAATTGAAAACCTAATGCTTAGTCACCATACGAAGCTACACAGCTGCTTTCGACGTCTTGGTTCGTAGGTCATTTGAACCATATCTTGTCGTTGTAATGCGCTGACATGTTCCACTCTCAGCGGGTTTGAAACTTGTCGTTGGCCCTCCAACTCCATGACTTGCTTCAGAAATTGCCACCAGTTCACATGCACGGACTTGCCGACGCCGACATCCTTCTCTTGTCAACCCACGTGCTATGAAGGTGAGAGGCTCAAATGCAACGCAACTAAACGCAGTCATCTATAATTGTATGGTTCGGGCTCTATGCCCGGCGAAGCGGGATAAACCAAGGGTGCAAGCAATCAAGGTCAATGGGGTTTCGGGGGATCATGCTCAACTTTCACACCACTGCTATTTTTTGGATTGTGAATTTCCTCAGTGAATGAGTGGCTGCTGTGGTGCCCGGAGCAGTGGTTCGGACTCAAAGGTCGGTTTGAAACTTTCATGAGGCCATCGGCATCTGCAGGCTGGTGGGGCTCGCATGATGGACCGCATGCTTGTCAATACGTACTTTGACCTAGCTTCGCTTGTCTTCAACTGAGAGGTTCAGCAAAGGGATGCTGTCAAACAAATTGTTGCACTCAGTGATGCTGTATCTGTTGCATTTTTCTATATATAACCAAGCAGGTACGCTTGGAGCGACCTGACTTCCACAAGGCGTCCGTTAAAAAATGTGTGGAACCACACAAAAATCCCCCTTGGTTGTCCCGGGGGCCCTCAAGCTCTAGATTTTATAAAAATCCCTGAGGAATACAACTTCCACTTGCTTATGAAAGCCTGTACCGAGACTCCAAGTCATGAAGCGCAATTCTGTATATTTTCCTAGCGGGTTAGGTCCATCATGATGTATGGGTACCTGACAACGAATTCCCTAAGAATGCCAACCAGGAGTCCTTATATTTTCCTGAGCTTAAAGACAGTCAAGAGTTTTCTTTTCTCGCGGACACTGAAGCTCACAGAGTTGTGACCAAAAAGTAATACTTATAAAATCCTGTGTTTTTTCAGCTTATGAAATCCTGTGCAAATCCTATATTTCCAGGCTGTTCCGGTTATATGTTCCTGCCATTGACGCTGGACCTTGCAACACAAACGGCCCATAAATTTATATAAAAGCGGGGATCACCAACAGGAAAAAATATAGCGATAAGCAACGGGGATCACAAAACAAACAGCCGCGTTGCCTTGCAGATCCTCGGGCGTTGGGCCAAGTAGCATTGCCGTAGGCCATGATGATCGAGCTCAACGTGGCGCACAAAAAATCAAGAGAGTGACATGTTCAATGGTGTGGATTGGCCGGTTGCCTGCTTCAAGCAACCGCTGGTCGAACAAATCTCCGGTCAATGCAAAGGGTCAAACATATTGATTTTCTGAGTTTCATATCAATGTGACCCTTCTCGATGCTTTCGATGAAGGTCTGCTGGGCAAAGCGCGCTGTCTGAGAAGTTCCTGCTTGCCCGAAATGCAATTCCATACCGTTGAAGGTCAAAGCCTGCCTGTGTTCAAAACAATGTTGTGACAAAACAAAGTGTGATGCGGAGATCTTCATTGAAGGTGACTATCTAGACTATATACATGGCATTTGTTGGGAAATCCCAGTGCGAATACGAATGCCGCTGTGGTGCTGTGGCGCGGCGCTGTGCGCTGTGGTGCTGCGCATGCTGAGCCACTCATCTTGCACAAGGGGTCGCACAGAAGTGTTTTTCCCCTTCCTGCGCCGCAGCGAAGAACGCCCCCGCGCGCTATGCACACTGCGTACAAAGGTGAAGGCGGGTGGCTCGGGGCGAAGGGCCCTCACAGCGCCAGGACCTCCACGAGGGGAGGGCACGGCGGCGCACGCCGTGCAAAGAAGAGGCTCACAGACGGGTCTCACGGAATGGTCTCGCAGAAGGACCTCGAAAACAGCAGGTCTTGCAAACGAGTCTTGCAGAAGTCTCGCAAATGGTTCTCGCTAAAGGGTCTCGCAAAGGGTCTCACAAACAGGTCTCGCAATTGGAAGCCGGGCCGATGTCCTGCACATCATGGCATCAAAGCTGTGAACCGGGCGTCTTAGTAGCTTGCTTGGTGAGCGGTCAAAGGTCAGGATTTTGATGTCCCCGTGCAATGATGTGAGTCCTCTTTCCCCCTCCAGGAGGGGGCCGGGCGCGGTGCTACGGTACGTCCTTGCACGGGGCAGCGGAACATGTTTGTCTTGTCCCGGCAGCAGGCTCTGGTGGAAACAATTTTTTCTCAAATGTGGATGACCGAAGATCTTTTGAACCCCTGCCAGTGCCACAGGTTTCAACATTTCCATTGCGTCAAGATTGTTTCCTTTTGCTGGGTTGTCGCCAAACTCCCCGGTGTCGTCAGACTGCCATACCCTCTTTCCAACGCAGTTCATTATCAATGCTCTTCACTGGCAAATTTGTTTTGCTGTTACTTGGGCGTCTTCGAGATCAGCCTCGGTGTCGCTAGGCTGCTTGAAGCTGGGACCAAACAAGTTTCGGAGGTTTTGAAAAAGTTTCCTGTGGGTGGCAAAAGTGTGTTCGTTGACCACCCCAGCGATGGTCAGTAGGTGGCGTTCGACTGGGAGGTTTGGGCGCCCAAAGTTCAATGACAACACTTACATACTTAATTCGTTACAATTTTATTTCTCACCGTCTTCACTGGAGGCGTCGCACAGGGCTGTCACTTGTGATTTTTTTCTCCTACTCTGTTTTAGAATTCGTCGTAAGCCCAGTTTCCAAGCTAGTCGGAGGTCGCAAAACGTATGGGCTAATCAAGGTCCGCAGGCTGGACGGGTCACACAGCAGGCTATGTGCAAGGCGGTGTTGCAATAGGAATGCCGAATGATGTCGTGTAGCTGGCGTGATGAAGTGTGCACAACGATCTCGTTCCACACGAGCCACCAGGAACAGCTCGGCTTGAATTGAAGACACAGCGGGTGCGCCGCAACAGGAACATTCAAGCAAACAATCATTGTTGGGTTTCTTGAAGGGCCAGGAAACCCTCAAAGCGTCACGTGTCTTTCTTCCATCGCGGCCGCCGTGGCCCCCGAAGTCCACAACGCCATGTGGTAGGCGTGCAGGCATCGGTACCAGGATGTTGAACACGTGGAACAGAGGCCTCAAGCTGAGCCTAGGGCTGGTGATCAGGTAGAACATCTGATGGCTGGGGGACGTAGTGTGGGCCTGGAAGTGGAACTTGTGGCGTTTGTGGTCCACATAGCCTGCGCGCTTTCGTGGCCTCTCTCCTCATGCCGCCCGCCGCACCTGGGGCTAATGTCGACGGCGGCATGCCGCCCCTCAGAAATCTTGTTTTCTCGTGTAGCCTGACCAATGATGAACATCCAGGACTTGGCGAGATCGTACCGATTGCGCCGTCGTGTTGTGTGTCTTCTTCTGCCACCTTGACGGTCTTCACGCTTGCGCCGTTTGGGAGATACTGACATACCGTATGCCCTTACGGGTGTTGGTTCCGAACGGTTCTGGATTTTTTCGGTTTGTTTCAATGAAATTTGGGTTGGTCCGCTTATAGTGTTCGAAGATGTTTTGAAGGCGTTGTTGTGTTTCAGGCGGGAAGACCCTGACGGAACACTCTGTATGAAAGCCTTCAACCGTATCCATATCTTTGTTCCTTGGAAACACAAAAGTTACAACATGAGGCAACTATGTTGGGCGGCTGCTTCTGTTTGTCATAACAACCGCAACAACAAAAACAATTATGCCAGCATCGGCCCCAAACAGCTGGGAGGCAAAGGGGGGGCAAAGGGAGGCAAAGCTAAATCATATCAGCCCAGCATCCAGACATGCCATGATAGACAAGAAGGGGGGACATGGAGAGAGTAAGCAAAGTGACCCCAGCCCAGCATCCAGACACGCCATGGAAAACAAAGGGGGACAAGGGGAGACAAAACAAAGTCATCTCAACCACTCATCATACACCACTCATCATACACCACTTATCATACACCACTCATCATACACCACTCATCATACACCACTCATCATACACCACTCAACATACACCACTCACTTTGTGAACCTCCATGTGCAGATTTCGTTTCAGGCACAGCACGCTGTGAACCTCCATGCTTCTCCGAACCTCGACGGGGAAGCTCCGCGGAACGCGGTGTGCGAGACGGTCTCGGGTCATAAGTCATGCTCGGATCATTAGCGGAATCGTCCCTCCATTGGGTGCAGATTTCGTGGCAGGCGCAGAACTTTGCGAACCTCCATGTGCAGATTTCGTGGCAAGCACAGCACTTTGTGAACCTCCATGTGCAGATTACGTGGCAGGCGCAGCACTTTGTGAACCTCTATGTGGAGATGCATGTGCAGAGTTCGTGGCAGGAAAAACACTTTTTGAACCTCCATGTGCACATTACGTGGCAGGCACAGCACCCTGCCTCCATGTG